AATTAATTAAACCATATATTTATTATATTTAAATTAGTTAAAATATAGTTTGTAAGTCAACTATAGTTCAGTTTCTTAACAGGGTATATAATTAACTAACTATAAAATATTTAGGTTATGGCTATTAACTCACTTCTCCACCAAAAAACTCACTTGTTATAAAAAAACTCACTTTAACTATTTGAAACTAAATATTTTTAATTTTATAATTAAAAAGAAAAATGAGGATAGAAAAACCAAATGAACTATATTTATAGTTTAAATCCTATAAAAATAATTATAATTATATAGTAAAAAAATAAACTATAAAGAACCACAATTTTAAAAAAATAAAAATATGAAATACAATTAATGGTAAAGTGACTTCCCCAAAGTGTGCAAGTTAAAATTTTTAGTCTTTTTTACAGGGAAAGGGCGTGCAAGACTAAATTTTAATTGAAAAACATTTTATTGAAAATGTTATTCGTTTCCAAATTGTTTCAAAAAACACACAACCCTTTGGTGCTTGAATTAATAAACTACAAAAAGCAAATTAAATTATAAAAATTGGGTAATGGTTTGTCTATGTGTTTAATGTAAAAACTGTTTTGTTTCAAGAACGTGAATAAATGTCGATGTCTCTTGTGTTAGCGTAATTCAAAGCGACAAGAAGAAAGTGTAATAAACATTATGTTTTTCTCTGTGCCATTTTATAGCAAACAATAACAAATAGTCTGTTTAATAGGTGCAGTTCATTGTTACAAATCGATGTGCACTGTTGTCCAGAACTGGTCCTTCGATAATTTCCATTGGGTCGCTTTCCCGAAATTGTTGCTTAATTAATTGTATTCGAAGTGTGAAAGTTAAAAATTGCAACGTCACAAGGTGTGCAAGTTAAAGTATAATTTAGTAGTAACTTCGAAATTATAATTAATAATTAAACTAAAAATAATCTTTTTTTTAAAAAAAAAAAAAATTTCAAAAAATTAATGATTCTATTTTTTTAATAAAAAAATTATAAATGAACTATACCTTAACTTGCACACCTTTAAACTAACTTGCACACCTTGGGAAGTCACTTTACACAATTTTTTCTTTTGGTAAAAAACAACATAAACTTGACCTGTTCAAAAAAGAAAATTTCATCAAAAAATTATTTACTACTGAAAAGTTATAAATTTCAAATTTAATTCATCTTTTTTAAATGTTCTAATATAACATAAATATTTATTTACTTTGTTTTTCTAAAAGTGAAACTAAGAATCAAATGATTTTACTTTCATCAAAAAGGAAACAGTCATCACTTTCAGTTGAATAGTTTATTTCTTCAACTCTATTCAAAATTTGGAGACATTTCTTTGCCGTTTTTGGCAATTTTGTTTCATCACCAATGGGGTCTCTCAAAGGTTTTAAAGAAATTAAATAGTTTGTTAGACCATGACAAATTTGGACTGAGAGTTTGTAAATGGTTAAATTGTTGTTCCAAACTGCATCCATTCTTGGAAAATAGGTGACCAAACGAGCAAAGTGATTTTCAACCACAATTCTACAACTCGAAATAAACGAGTTTCTAAGTTCAAGTAAGACTTTACCATGATAAACCTTCAATAATTGTCCTTTAAATTTGGTGTTATTGAATTGAGAGATTCCATTAAGCGACCCTTTCTTTACAACACCATTATTGACAAACGAAAATTCATTGTTGTCATCAATGTTGTAGTTTGTTTTAAATACACATTTGGAAAAACACACTTTATTCAAACCAGAGGTACTCTCAAATTTGCCAGTAAACACACCTTGGACAATCAAACCAGAAAATCTTCCTTGTAATTTTTCTTGTAAACCTTCTACCTTCAATAACGTGGTTGCATCGAAACTGTATGTTTTTTTCTTGGATGAAGTTGTAATTAAGTAAACACACTTGCAGCATCCAGCGTATCCCCCATCACCAAGAAACAATTTGTTTCCATAAAACAAAACGTTTAACAAATCCTGTTTTACAGAAGTCGAGTCGTGTACTGATGCGGGTGTGGACTCTTGTACGTGGACTGCAAAACCATTTCTGTTGACAAAAACTTGTGTTCTCATTGAACTCGAATTACTTTTAAATGAGTAATAGTCTTTTTGAATAACTTTGGAGACACGTTGAGTCGGTATTGGTTGGTCTCTACCATCCACAATATAGTATGTGTTTTTTTAATTTGGGTTCTATTTTTAAATATAATGGATTTTTTCTTACAGCGACGTGTTCTAATCGAGTTTCTGGTATATTTTGAACTGATAATATCAAAGATTTGTATATTTTTGGATGAAATTTAATTATGGCTTTAGTTAAATTATCTGAAATAAATTTTATTTTCGTGTTTTTATTTTTTGTTGTATCCATACCATAAAGGAGTTCATATAATTCAACATGTGTCGTTTTTGTATGGAAAAATGTCGACATCAACACAAATTGTTCATGATATGCAAGTTTCGACTTTTTGTGTTGTTTAAAAAGCGTTTGATCAATCACTCCTTTTTGTTTGAACGTGTTTTCTTTTGTAAACGTGGCATTGCTAACAATGATATCAAATAGGTTAACAAGTTCTTCAAGTTCAAAACCAGTAAGAAACTTGCAAGTATGTAAATTAAACTGGCGTTCCCAAACATTTTTTTCATCAGAAAAAGATGAAGTAATTGAATTTTCGCTACCGAAATCAATACAATTAAATGAAAAACATTCTTCCATTAAATGTGAAGCAATTTGAGAGCTAACAATATCTGCCTTTGGCTGATAAACTGTTTCTCCGTCATTTAATGTCGTGTTAATGAAAATTGTGATTCCGTTATTCTAGTTGGTCTTTCAACATCATTAATATTAAACGACAATTGGATTGGTAAATTTTGTTGTGACTCTGTTGGTTGTAGTGTCTGCAGTTGTGGCAGTGACTGTGACTGTGTTGGTTGTGATAATTGCAGTGGTTGTGACTGTGACTGTGTTGGTTGTGTCCTTGTTATTAATCGACGAGGTGTCCGTGTTTTTAATGGTGGTCTATAAACCATTCTCAACGTTGGCTTTGACATGAATAACAAGTTATTAAAAATGCTTAAATTGTATTTTTTTATCATTACTGGTTCGAATTCGTTCTTATGTTTTAACGTTTTTACTAATGGCAATTTTGATTAATTGGTCAAGTTGTTTTTTTATTTGTATATTTAAATTGTAAATTAAAAGAAAACCAAAATTTTATTATTTAAACATTTTTTTGATTTATTAAATTATTAACTATTAAGATAATAAATTGTTTTTTTGGTGAGTTATATTTTTAAAAATGAGTTAAATAATTAGAAGTGAGTTTATTCAAAACAAGTGAGTTAAAAGTAAAAAAATGAGTTAATAGCCATTACTTTTCAAGTGTCTACATCTGTTTTATTAAGTATAAATAATATAATTAAAAACGAAAAACTAAGTCAGCACGACAATCCACTACAATTTGTTCGATATTAATTAGTATTAAATCGTTTAAATTGATCAAATAAAAACCAATAATATTTTAAAGTGTATTAAAGTAAGTATCTAAACCTTTACTCCAATACTATTGGCTTTTATAACAAAATTCTTCAATGAAAGAAGGCATTCAATATTTTATTTCATAAAGATACGACACAAAAAGGTCTGTATTGTAAATATTATTTATACCTCTAAAATAATTTTTTAATAAATGTGATAAAAGCAACAAAATATATTTGAAAATTTTAACACCAAATCTTCTAAATTGTAATTAAAAACGTTTTAACAAACCAATTATACAATAAAGCAATCCAATTCACTTTGTCTTCAAAAACGCGTCGATATCCCATGGCTTCCCATCAACATCATTATCAATGAAAACTGCGGGATTAATAAGATCTCCATTTGACTCCATATCTTCAAACTTTTTGAGCAACACTTGTCTTCTTTTCTCAAAGTTTACGATTAGTCCTTTGTCCTGTTCTTTTTTATATTCCATTATATTCTATTTCTAGTTCTTTGTTTTCTATTTATACTACAAACACTAATATTACCAACTGCAATACATTCAAAACACAATCTAACTTTAAAAAACTTAAACCTTATTTCTTTCTTCGAGACATAATCATGCCAGCCATCTCAAATGACTCTTCTTCCCCTTTAGAAAATGGCGCTTCATTCGCGTAGATATAATGATACTCCGTATCATTGACCTTTTCAAAGAATCGTGGCTTGAATACAACTTGTTTTCTCTCGTTCTCTTGTCTTTCCAATCGTTGCCATTCCTCGACTTCCCACTTTTTGTCAGACGCATCTTGCCCATCGCCTTTCACGACTGCGGCAGTTAAGTCTTTCCACACATATTGCGACTCCTTCCCCCACAATTTGTCTTCGGGTACTTCGTAACGTGTTGGGGTCTCTGGGGGGACTTTCGCGTCCAAGAATATTTCTTTCCCAATGAAGATCTTTTCAAAGTACTGGCCTTGGAGGGTGTCGACGATCGTATCCTTTTGCATGATTTTGCCCTCTACCTTATACAAATTAGCAGAAGAGAACATCGAGCTAGTCTTGAAGTCCAAATTGGCCCAGTAGTCATTCTTGTTGTTCTTTATTGTCACAACACCACCCATCTCCATAATGAATGGCCCAACAAAGAACCCAGACGCCTTCGTTGGTGGGAAACACCACGTGTATTCTTCGTCGTATTTCAGTAACTTAATCTTGTGGTTCCCATTCAAATAAGCCCAAGCAGATACTCCATAGAAACTCACAGAAAAAGTGACGGTCCCATATCCGACCCATCCATCTTCTCTATTAGTGACATAAAACGACGAAATAGGAGGATGGTGCGAGACTTGTTCGGCGATATAATGTGTCTTCGAGCCGGTGTTTTCGTTCTGCCACATGCATCGGAAGACTTCTCCCAAAATTGGGTTGTAAGGCTTTCTCACGACTTTCATAGCGTGAGCGAAACCAGACAAGTACCATTGCGTGACCAATTTCATACGTTTATATGGGTCATCTTCATTAGCTGCTTTTGAGATGAGGTTCCAATGTTCAAAATAGTCTGTAAAGTTTTGGAGAAAAGATCTTGCCTGTGTGATGCAGACGGGGAATGGGATTTTAGTTAAGTCCATTCCTGGGGAAAGGCCTTTAGCGAATTCCCATATGATATTATTGTTCCACAAATCCTTAGCTGGGGGTTCTGTTGTGACCTTTTTGTAAGGAGTGTCTTCGTACTGTTGTGTAATTTCGTGGTGTGTTTCGTACCCACTGAACTTCCCAAGAATGGCCTTTTGTGCATCAGACAAAGTTGGCTGGGACATTTTAGAAATTATAGATCCACATTCCTTTTTATTCAGAAGATTTTGATAAGGTAATGGAAGTCTCTCAGTGGAATACAACGGGATTTTTATTAAAAAGTGATGCGTTTTTTAAACAGTCACTTCTCTTTACTCGAAAGGCACTGAAGTACTTTTACTTAAGAGAAATTGGGTAATAATCTCATTTTCTTAATGAATAATTTATAAATAAAACTATTTGCGGTATTAACAGATGAAATGGCAAAATGTTATTGATTTTGTTTTTTGAAAGCTTTATATGTCGTTTTGTAAACCAATACTATCGGGCTTTTTTATTATGCTTGGATCTTTTTATTTATTTTTGAGTCTTGATATTGAGTTTGTGGACTTGTCATTTCAACATTTTTTTTTTGATAATTAAAATTTAATTTATCTTTTTATACCCAAAAATGGTTTAAAAAAATGGTTTTGTTTATTAATAATTTAATACTATATAAACAAAAAAAAGGAACTTACAATTATAGATTTGATTAATAATAAATATATAATTTTTTTTTGAATAATTAAACTTAATACATTCAAATTAAAAAGAACTATACACTATATTCGATTAATATAAAAATATTCAGATACAGCGTAACAATTGACTTATATTTAATATATATATAATTTGATTTGTATTATATGATAATAATAAATGTGTTATTATTAATTGATACAGTTATTGAACATAATTCTTAATAATAAATCAAAACCCTAATACTTTAGAAACTATGAAACAACAGTGTCATGTCGAGCAAAAATTTGTCCAAAAAGCAACAAAAAGCAGCAGAGAAAGAAGAAGAGGAAGAAGAATACGAAGAAAATGAAGAGGAGGAAGACGTAGAAGAAGAGGAGGAAGCAGAAGAAGACGAAGAAGAAGAAGAGGAGGATTCAGTTGATACATATGAAGTGAGAGTTTATAACGCAGAAGGCAAAGAGATTGTATTTAACGAAGATGATGACGACGACTGGAATCCAATCGTCGAGGCCTCAACAATAGAAACTGTCCAAGTCGACGAAGGAGCCACAAAGAGCAATTTCTGGAAATGGTTGAGAAAAGACTGGATTGAAGCTCATGGTGGGTTACAAGCTGTTATTAATGGTGGTGTCTCATTTTGCATTGATGAGCCAAAAGTTGTTCAGAGTAGTTCCACTGATACTTCCAAAGAGAAAGAAGGACGAACTGTCAGAGCACAAGTCGACTTGTTTAATAAGACAATTATTGGGGATGAAGCCATTGAGAAAAAGCTTTTGGAAGTGGTCGACAAGACGAAGTCAAAAGACCGCGACGAACTTCCCTATTATCTTTTGTGGCTTGAAGAGACCGCAACGGCAGTTTCTTTGAAATCTCGAATTATAGTATCTTTATTAAATGTTATAGAAACAAATTACACCCGTACAAAGCGCCCAGGTATTGCATTAGAACCCGAATTATTTGAAATGGTGAAATCGGCGTTGAACCGCTTTTTCAAAAACAGTGAAGATGAAAGCGTTGTCGAGTTGTTCAAGGACAAATCTTTGAGTAACCAAATTGGGCTCACTCTTTCTCGAATATTGGAAGACCAAATCAGTGTATTGAAATTCACCAAATATCCCTCAGAAGGATACTCCACCATTCTCACTGATGTCATCTTCTTCATCAATCGCGGCTTGAACATTCTTTCATTATACCAGAAAGTTGTTTTAAAAAACAATGTGATGTTGGATGAAATCACTTCGATCTTTGTTGAGCTTGCAGTTACGATATTGAGAATTGTATACGCCTTACCAGAGTCATCGACTTTCATGTTTAACGCCAAAGAGATGAAACTCGATGAATTGGTTGCGTCCCTTGCAACCCTAATTTTCACCATCTCTTCCGAAGAAGAAACTCGTTACTATGCTTTCTTGTGTCACGCGTGTTATTTAGCTTCTAAAGGGGATCACAGTGGGGCTCGCTTATTACTCAACTTCCCACCAAATTTACAAAGCGGTGCTGTTCCATTGCAGATCTTACACGATAGAGCACTTGCTTTGACTGCAATGTCCGCTTTCAAAGATAAAGAATTTAAGACGACATATCACTGTTTACACACACTCATTCAATCGAATAAAGTCAATGTCATGCTTGGACAAATACAATCAACTATCGAAACTAGAACGGTTCCTGCTCATATGTACATCGACACTAACACACTCTTTTTAATATACTACTTGTCTGCAACAATCGTCGAATCAGAGACAAAGTCTTTGGACAAGTCGATGCTCAGAAAGTCCCTCTTAAACACCCGATATGTTATTCCTTTACCACCAACATCTGTCTCCGATTTCTTTGGTGTTGTTTTACAAGCAATTATTGATGGAGACTGGCTCCTTGCAAAAAACACCATCGACACGATCACATCGACTTTCAATATCAAAGCAGACTTGACTGACTCCGTTAACAAAATCAAGTCCGCTGTGATTAAAAGCTTCGTCGCAAAGTATAAAACGCTTTATAATGGTCTCACCCCAAAGTACTTAGCTCAACTCTTTGGCGCTGATGAGCAGGAAGTTGCTCCATTTTTGAATTGAACGAGTTTCTTTTTAGCAGTTGTTTATAACTCTTTATACTATAATATATACTATAGTAATAAAACACTTCAGAAATTATAGTATAATTATAATAAACCGAACTAAAAATCGATTTAATAAGGGCAGCTTGCGTCGTCTGGTTTGACCGAAGCGCCATAAGAGAAAGAGACGTAGGCACCACACATTCCTTCGACAGCTGGGCACTCAACTTGACTCATTTTGTTATCAACCATCTTGAAACAGACGTTGACTGACTTAAGAACAATATCGTCGCTTGTCCCACAGATCCACTGTACTAGATATTACTATAATTGTATTATACTGAAATGAACTATATGGTAATAGTAAAAAAATTATAAACAAATGATACAAACCGTTGTGGGTGTAACCACGAGTGTTGAGTAAGTTGTTAAGTTTCTCGACAGAGTAGACACCATTGAAGTATTCTGTGTAATAGTTTCTGATGATGGACCACACGTTATAGTCTTGGAAAGTCAAAAGAGTGAGGTTGAAGTAACCATACGGGGAATTGAATTGTGGAGGGAAGCAAGAACCGTATTGGACATAAGCCTTCTCGGCGTTGTTGCACTCAGTAAAGCTCGACCAATACATTCCAAGTTGACTTTGGTAAAACATGTTGTGCTTCACCATATTTGGGACATAAGTCTCGATGTCTTCACGACGGCCTTCAAAATCACAACATGTCATAGGCTTGTTGTTTTCGTCTAAAACGGTTAAATAATTAATCTTGTCACCTCCTACATATGTCGAAAGAATTTTTGGTAACTTGCATGCTTCTTTCGTGCATTTTGCGTCAACAAATTCGTAATTGAGTCTACAAGTTAGTTGTGTTTTATTAGTTTTTAAATACAAACACATAAATGGGATCATTGGGAAGAGTCTGATTTTCAATGGTTGGACACCAATTGTCGCCTAAGACGCTCAGTGCGAAAAGAATGACGAACATCAAGGGAATGTAGTTATTTAGTTCAATGAACTAATAAAACTTCCTTATCTCGACATTTTTCTATTCATTTCTATTCTTTGGTTTATCCTTCTGTTTTAATTAGTTAAATTTATTTAATTATTATTATAATTTATTGGGTTTTACTTTTTAACTATATTTATTATATTGTTTATTGATTTATTTTTTTGATTAGTTTGTATTAAATTTGAATAATATATATGTTTATTATATTAGATATGATTAAATATATTATGTATTTATGTTATTTATAACAGCATCAACAAATTATTATAATTTAATTATTAAATCGTTTGTTTCCATACTTTATACATTATTATTTTTACCATAAGTGGTAATATGCCAAATAATAATAAATTTTGGTTTTAATATTAATATATCCCCGAAACTATACATTTTTATAGTTATATATGGTAATAACAATTCTTTTAATAAAAAATCGTGCTAATAAAAACATCTTTTAGTATAATTATTCTAATTATGTATTATTAGGTTAATAAAAAATTAATTGGTAAGGCTAAACTATACCACCATACCAGCTTTTTTATTACTCCTCTTTTTTTCTCCCAAAACACTTGTTCATTTTTTTCGATATGAAAATATTATTTATTTATAGTTAAATTTATTATATAAAACGTGTGTTCAAAATTAAAATAAAAAAATCTCCTATTTGGGTTTACAATAAATGACTTAATTATTAGGTCAACTTTTGTGACTAATATAACAAAAATAGCACCCTTTATTGATGTTTTTATTCTTTAGAAAACTATTAAGTATAAATCCTTTACACATTGGGGTTTATCCCCATACAAATTACCTTCATTATTGTTTTGTAATAACTGTGGTAATAAGTACTTTTATTCAATAGTACCATTTCCATATTTTTGCTTAATATAGTTTTATTATTTTATTGAATAATAAATAGCTTCAATTTATATAAATTTGACGGGAAAACAGCGACGATATACAAAAAGTTAAACAGCCAGCATCCTTCATGGCATTCCAGGTTAATTAACTTCAATAGTAATAAACTAAATTTTTAATAAAAAAGAACTAAAGTCATAGTAGGCAACTCAAAAACAGACTGAACGCCAAATCAAATGTCATCGACACCAACAAAAGTGCATATCGCAGTAGTTGGAGGAGTTTGGACGTATATTCCGCCAAACACTATAGTAGAGAGTTTAAGACAAAGTCTTCAAGAGAATGGGACCAATGCGACTCCATCGAACTATAACATCCGCGCCGCAGACATACAACAAATTTTCGAGAGCTTTTACAACACGTCCCTTTCAAAATTGTCTCCAGACATTCAAATGTACTTTGCTCTCCGATTTATGAAAAAGGAGAGTGCTGAGGAGAAGCGAATAGGTACACTCATCATCGTGAAAAATTTAGATTTCTTATCGATCGGGTATCTCGACGACTTTGTTCGCATCATCGACAATTACATACCAGACTGGAACACGTGCGACTCCTTTAGTAATAAAGTGCTTGGACCCCTTGTCAAGAAGTCCGACGAATTTGCGCAGAGTATCGCGAAATGGAAAGACTCCGGGAAAGTGTGGAGAATGCGGGCCGCTTGTATATCATTTGTTAATTTAGCTAAGGTCGGAGCCATGACGGAGCTTTCATTTGATATATGTCAACATTGTTTGAAGTCGACAGAAAGGTTTGTTCAACTTGGGGTTGGGTGCTTATTGAGGGAAATGTCATTGATGTATGCAAACGATGTCGTTGATTTCATCACCAAAAATTTTAGGTACTTCAGTCGTGAAGGGTTGAGATATTCAATAGACAAACTTGGGGCTGATGTGAGAAAGAAAATATTGTCCCTTGGAAAGAGAAAAGGACAACAGATTGACGACACTGAGGATTTCACTAGGGAGACTATTACTTCCCAAAAATACTCTATATAATGCAATTTTTTTATTTCTTTTTTCTTGTATTCTTCTTGTTGTGTTGTTATCTGTTTTGTTTTGATGATGACAAAATAGTTTTGAAATTATAATAAAAATAGAAATGGTGACGTATGCAAATGTAAAAATAGAATAGATGCTGTAATTTTTAAAATTATATTCTTTGATACTTTGAAGTGAAAAAATTCAATTCTTTCTTGAAAACAACAAAAAGAACGAGGAGACGAAAGTCCATATTACTGTTATTCTAATTATTTTCAAATATTTCAGAATATGAATAAATCTATTTTTAAAAACTAGATGCAACATTTATTTAATCTAGTATTCACCAAAGCAACCTCAAATAAGTGAAGAGACATTACAATACTAGGTTGAGTGTTGACCTTCCAAGCCTGCTCTTTAAAAAAGCAATTTCAACATTTAAGTGTTATTTCGACAAATATGAGATCTTCAAAAGTCAAGGTTGGAACTTTCATTTTTTGAAAAGACAAAAAATATAAGTAAGCTTAGAAATATGTCCCTTCATGATAAAAAACGCTCAATTGACCTCTTAAATTGCCCATCCAAGCCCGGCAAAAGTTTTCAAAAGCTATCAAAAGTCGACCAAATTCCCCAAATTCGAATTGTTCGATTTTTATCTTTTCAGTATTCTTAAATTGAACTTGTAAGTAACTTAAAATTGAACAGCCAAGTTTGTTGTTTCACATCCTTAAACCTTTCTAATGAACAGTGCCAAAAGAAGACAAGAAGGAGAAGAAAGAAGACGTAGAAAAAGATGAGAAAGTCGAAGAAACAAAAAAGCCACGCGTTTACAAGAAACGTGCCAAAAAATACCCAGTCGCCAAGCCCAAAAAAGCTAAAAACTCGTACATTAAATATTGTCAAGAAAAGCGAGAAAGTGTAAAAGAAGACTTCCCGGATCTCAAAGGTGCTGAGATCACCAAGAAGCTTTCAGAGATGTGGGGGAACCTTACTGAAGATGAGAAAGAGGCTTACAAGCCAAAGAAAAATGGTAAAAAGAAAGTTGAAGACAACGAAGAAAAAGATGAAGAAAAAAAGTCAACAAAGAAGGAAACAAAGAAAGAGACAAAGTCCGAGAAAAAGACGCCGAAGAAGAAAGGAGGAAAATAAATGACCTGTTTTTTGACTTAATTCTGTTATTTCACTTCTTCTAGTATTTTTAATGGTATTTCTTTCATAACTATTAAAGTATTATTTTTTTACTAACATTTATAATTCTTTTTATTTCATATTGTTGCACTTAAATTATACTATAAAACGTAATTTAAATTAACTATAATTTAACTATCTTAATAAATGAAATAAATAGTGTGAATTATAACTAAAAAGTCGGGATAAATAGGTGGGTTGAATAAACTACAAATTAATAAGAAAGAATAGTAAAAATGAAGGGTGAAGCAAACTAAAAACCCTGAAAACAGAGAAATGGATTTGACCAGACAGTTTGTTGAGCTCTTCACTAAGCAAGAATATATACTAACATACAGTGTCGTTGAAGACCAAAGCATTGACAGCAATGAACAAGAAAGATCTCGATGCCAAGTTGATTGAGTTGAAAACCGAGTATGCCAACTTAAGAACTGCTAAGGTCACCGGTGGTCAACCAGCAAAACTCTCGAAGTTGAGAGTCGTCAGAAGAAACATCGCTAGACTCCTCACCTACATGAACACTCAGAGAAAGAATCAACTCAGAGTCTACTACAAACAAGCCAAATACATCCCAAAGGAGTTGAGACCAAGAACCACCAAAAAGGAAAGACTCGCTCTTACCCCAGAACAAAAGAATGCCAAGACCAAGAGACAAGCTCTTAAGGCTTCTATGTTCCCAATGAGAAGATTCTTCATCCGTGCTTAAACAAGTCTGGTTGTGATTCTTTTTTCTTACATTTTGAATAGTTTTCTTTTTACTATTCTGTTTCTATTGCTTTTTCTCTTCGACTGGTACTAATAACAATAAGTAATTTATTAATAATCTATTGTTTAATTCCGAAGTGTTATTCTCTTATGTAGCCATGTGTTCCATCCTTTCAATGGTACTTTTTGTTGTAAGATCTCGTCATATAACTCCGTGACATTGATGGTATTGCACTGCTGTTGACTTAACAAAAACTTGAAAGCAAGCGCAAGAGAAGTAAACAACTCCCGCCTCTCTTCTTCTTCTAAAACACCAAACTCTTCGACATTCTCTTTGTACCTTTTGATCGTGTCAGACAACTTCTTAAATTCATCTTCGATTTGGTTTTTGGCTTTTATGAGTTCATCGACTTGAATTGCGTTGTTTTTCTTTTGTTCTTCGTTTGATTTAATGAGTTGTTCCTTTTCTAATGTACTTATCTTTTCAGATTCGTCGAGTTTTAATTTGAGTTTGTTTATTTCATTGTTCAGTTCATCTTCTTTTGTATTTGTTTGGATATTCTGTTCATCAAGTTCATTTTTCAGTTCATTGTTAAGTTTGTTCAATTCATCTATTTTGGTGTTGTTGATTTGTTCGTTGTGTTGATATTCATCAATTTGTTTCTCATTTTCAGCTATTTTGGTGTTGAGTGTGATGATCATTTCTTTGTGTTCTTTGATTTCATTTTCGTTCAATTTTGCAATTTCTTCAAGTTCAGCCATCGTTTTTTTCATACAATCACATTCTGCACCAAGTTTTTCCTTTTCTTGATTGACACTGTTCAATTCATTTGTCATCTTCTCAATTTCATCATTCTTATTTTTGTTCTCTTCTTCTATTTTAATTATTCTTTCGTCTCTCTCTTTCTTTGCTTTCTCATCTTCTTCTAATTTCTCTTTAAGTTCTTTCAAATGTTTTTCCTTTTCTTGAATATCCTTTGTACAAACAACAATTTCTTCTTTCTTTTCTTTCAACTCATTTTCAAGTGTTTCAGTCTTTTTGTTGAGACCCGATATGACACTTCGATTATTCTGTTCACTTTTTTCCACCAATTCTTTCATCTCGCCAATTTCATGTTTTGTTTTGTTCAGTTCTTCTTTTGTTTGAATTAATTCTGCATTTGCTTTCGACAATTCTTCTGCAATTCCTTTGGTCTCGTTTTTGGTTTTTTCCAACTCATCGTTCACATTTGTATTTGTTTGTTCCAAGTTTTGGATGTTCTTAACAAACCCTTCGTTTATACTTTTAATTTCTTCCAATTGTCTTTCTAATTCACTTTTATCTTTCTCAACATTTTCAAGTGTGTTTTCTACATCCTTCTTTTCTTTCATTATCATTTCATTGTTTTGATTCATTACCACAACTTTTTCATTCAATAAGTTACACTCCTTTTGCAATTGTTCGTTGTTTTCATTCTTCTTTGCAATTTCCTCGTTACTCCTCTTCTCTTTTTCTCTCATCGCGTTTTGTGTTTCCTCCAGTGTTTTCGTCAATTCAGAATTTTTGTTTTGTTCTTCCAAAAGTTGTGAATTTGTTATTTCATTTTTAACCATCATTTCGTCCATTTTATGTTCAATGCCATCTCTTTCCTCTTTCATTGCATTGAGTTCATTTTTTACATTTTCCTTCTCTCTTTTTGTCTTGTCCAATTCTTCATTTAATTTTGTTGTGTTATCTCTTTCACCCAACAAATCGCTCTCAACCCTCTCTTTGTCTTTTTGTAGGTTTTTAAGTTCTTCCTCATTTTTTATTTTCTCTTGTTGTGTCTTATCCAGTTGTGAACAAATCGTTTCATTCTTCTGCAAAAGTTCTTTCTTTTCCTTTTCAATATTTTTAATTTGTGTATTCTTAACAACCAAAGTCCCTTCAATCGCCTTCTTTTCATTTTCAATTTGTTCGTTCAATTTATTCAAATCAATAATTTTGTCGGATTGTGTGTGGTTATCTTTCTCAAGTTTTTTGATGTTCTCTTCAAGACTTTCTTTTTGTTTTGTCAAGTTTTTGTTCTCTTCTACCAACTCGTCTATTTTTATATTATTTACCAACTCTTTTTTATTCATCTCTTCAACTTTTTCTGTTGCTGCTTTGAGTTGGCACACCAAATCTTGATTCGTGTTTTCAGTGTTTTTGTTCTGTTCACAAAGGTTTTTCAAGTCTTCTGTTAACTTGGTTTCTGAGGTCTTTATTTTTTCCATGGTTTGTACAAGTTTTTCATTTTCTGATTGTGATTGTTTCAACTGTTCTTTTGCTTTATCATGTTCTTCTTTAAATTCCTCATTTAAATTGTTCTTTTCCATTTTTAAGTTATCAAATTGGCGTTGCAACTCTCTTTGTTCGTCTTCGGTGTGTTTTAATTGCGACACAGTTTCTCTTAAAGTGTCTTCAACTTTTTTCTTTTCGATTTCAACTTGTTCTTTCAATTTCTTCATTTCTTCATTTTCTTTTTGAAGGGTGTTAAGTTGAGTGTTGAGTTCTTGAATTTCTGTTTCTTGCTTTTCATTCTTTGTTTTCGACGAGTTAAGTTCATTCATCAATTTACCATTCGTTTCTTTCTCATTTGATAGTTCTCCACTCGTTTTGTCTCTTTCAATTTTGACCAAATTAAGTTGTTCTTCAATTTTTGATTTGTCGTCTTTTGTCTGAGTAAGATCGGATTCCAACACATGAATAATTTCTTTAAGTTTGACAATTTCATTCTGAAGATCCTTTTGTGCCTTTTCATTGTTTTCCAACTGATTGTTTGTTAATGCCAAAATCGCTTCAATTTCATTCTTCTTATTTTCACCATCCACTTGCTCTCTTTGCAACAATTCAATTTGTTCTTTCTGTCTTTGAGTTTCATTTTCCAATTTTTGTGTTTGTGTCATCAATTCATTCTTTTCCTTTTCTGTCACTTCTTTTGCACTCTTTAAACTTTCGTTTTCATCATTCAACTTCTGTGTTATTTCTTTTTCTGTATAGAGTCGTGTTTGCAGCTCTTTGTTTTGTGATTCAAAAGATACTTTTTGCCGAGTCACTTCTTCAAGTTGCTTTGTTAATTCGGTGACACGTTTCTCTTTTTCATTAATACCATTCTCAAGTGTGTTGTTGAGCACTTTTTGAGCTTCCAAATTGTCACACAGTTTTTTCTCTGATAATTTAGAATTTGCAAATTGTTCTTCTAATTTCATTTTCTCTTCTTTTGTTGTATCAAGTTCGGAAGTAACACCTTCAATTTTGGACTTCAGTCCGTTGTATTGTGTTTGGAGCTCCTTTTGCGATTTATCATAATCTTGAAGTTGTATATTTTTAGCTTTCAGTGTGTCTTCCATAACTCGATAATAGTTTTCCATTTGTTCTTTTGATTTCTTCAAATTTTCAATTTTTTCAATTTGTTCAGTTGTTAAACTTTCAAGTTTCTTGTTGTTTTCCTTTTGTGTGTCAATCTCTCTGTTTAATTCAATTTCAACCTTTTTGGCATTTTTCAATTCACCTTCTACTTTCATTTTCTCATCATTTGTTTTTGTTAGTTGTTCTTCAATGTTTTTGATATTACTTTTCATTTCATTTAGTGTTATTTCTGCTTCTTTCAGTTTCTCTTCCTGTGTATTTAACGTGGTTTTCAGTTCATCATTCTCGTTCTTTGCTTTTTCCAATTCGTGATTCATTTGTTTTTCTTTCTCTTTTTGAGTTGCAATAACTGTTTCCAATTTCTGTTCAGCTTCTTCTTTCTGTGATGTCATTTCTTTGCGTTGTTTTGTTGCTAACTCAAAGTTTTCTTTTTCTTCTTTCAATTTGTTTTCTAATTCATCTTTCTCTTGTTTTGTTTTATTGAGTTGTTCTTCTTGTTGATTAATTTTCTTTTCTGCATCTTCCTTTTGTTTTGTTGTCTCTTCGAGTTGTTGATTCACTTTCTCCAGATTGTCATTTTTGTTTTTCAGTTCATTTTGTAGTTGTTTTGTTGTTTCATTTTGTTTTTCAATTGTTTTTTCCAACTCCACTTTCTCATTTGTTGTTGTTTGAAGTTTTTGAGTGATGTTTTCATTTTCTTCTTTTGTCTTTTCCAACTCGTCTGACAATGTTTTCTTCTCATTTTCAATTTGTTCTTTTTCATCTTGAATTTTAGTGAGATCAGTTTGTAATATTTTAACTTTCTCTTCCAAATTATTTTTTAACATTTTGATGTTTTCAATTATCTCATGTGCTTCTTTCTTTTCTTTCTCAATTTCTTCAATCTTTTTAGTCGCAATTTTGAATTCGTCTTCTTTTGTTTTTAGTGCCATCTCTTGTTGTGTTGTCTTTTCTTTCTGCAAAGCCATTTCTTTTTCAATTTTGTCTTTCTCTTCTTCTGTAGTTATGAGTTGATGAGCAATTTGTTCTTTCTCGTTTTGACATTTTTCCAACTCTTCATTTAGTTTCTTTGTTTTCTCTTGTTCTGTTTTGATTGTGTTCATCATACTTTCTTCTTTCTTTTCAACTTCATGTTTAGTCGCAACAATTTCATTTGCAATCTTCTTGTTTTCTTCACTCATTGTCTTAAATTGCTCTTCGACTTTGGTTTTCTCATTTAGTAATTTGTCAATTTCACCTTTGACTTTCTCATTGTCATTTTGGAGTTGTTTTGAAATCTCTTTCTCTTTCATCAAATCAAATTGGAGTGTTTGATTTTTGTCTTCAATTTCTCTTTTTTGATTTTTAGTGTCTCCAAGTTGTTGAGTTACATTTCTTAATTTCTCATCCAACTCGTCTTGAAGTTTTTGTTGAGAACGTTCAACTGTTTCATTTTCTTGTTTCAACGCAATCACTTCATTTTGGAGTTTTGTTATTTCAGCAACTCGGTCTTCTATTACCAATTGTAAACGTTTTGACTCTTCACTTGCATTTTTGTTGTTTTCATCAATTTGTTTCTCATTTTCAGCTATTTTGGTGTTGAGTGTGATGATCATTTCTTTGTGTTCTTTGATTTCATTTTCGTTCAATTTTGCAATTTCTTCAAGTTCTGCATTTTGTTTTTTGAGTGTTTCATTGTTTGCTTTTTCATTGTCAATTTGTTGTTGCATTTTGTCAATTTTCTCTTTGTTCCTTGTGTTGTTATCACTGTTTTGTTGTTGTTCTTTCTTCAAGTTCTCTTCAAGTTCAGCCATCGTTTTTTTCATACAATCACATTCTGCACCAAGTTTTTCCTTTTCTTGATTGACACTGTTCAATTCATTTGTCATCTTCTCAATTTCATCATTCTTATTTTTGTTCTCTTCTTCTATTTTAATTATTCTTTCGTCTCTCTCTTTCTTTGCTTTCTCATCTTCTTCTAATTTCTCTTTAAGTTCGTTGTTACTCGTTTCATAATTACTTTTCATTTTATTTGTTTCTTCTTCTTTCCTAATTGCGTTCTCTTCCATTTCCTTTATTTTTTTGTTGCTTTCCTCCTTCTTTATTTTCTCCATTTCAATTTCCTTTTCCATTTCAACAATTTTCAATTTTTGTTCTTCTCCAACTTTATTCATTTGATCAATTTTTTCTTTGTTATTTGTAATAACAGAATCCTTCTCTTTGATTTCTTCTTCAAGTTGTTTTGTCTTTACTTCAAGTTCGTCTCGAACACTTTGTACCATTTCCAACATGAACATCATTTCCTGTTTTCTTTTCTCTAATTTCCCAACTTGTTCATTCAAAAGTCCCGTCTGTCTCACCATTTCACTTTTCTGGTCTTTGTCTTGTTTTTTCATTTCCTCGATATTTTGGTCCTTCTCTTTAAGCGCCATGTCGAGTTGCTCCTGGAACTTTTCTTTGACTTTCCCCATCTTCCCAACTATCGCCATCATTTTCCCTTCAAGTTGCCCAACTGCTGCAGTCTTCTCTTCGACTTCACTGGCCAATTTATCGCGTTCTTTTGCTTTATTTCGAAGATCAATCGTTTCCGGATTGGCTTCGTAGTCGCCTCTTAAAGTCTCATTTTGTGAAGTAAGTATTGTGTTATACGCTTTAAGTTTTTGGTTGATCACCTTCTCGTCTTTAACAACAAATCCACAACGACTCTGCACGGTGTTAAGTCTCCCCTCTAAAAACCTGATTTGGTCGGTGTATTGCTTTTCCTTTTCTTCCGCGTCTTTCTTCAACTTTGTGATAACACTGGCTAGGGTTTCGCATTCTTTTTGTGATTTTTTCAACTGTTCTGCCACATTCACTTGTGCTGTGTTACAAAACGATTGAGAATGGGTTAGAGATATTCTTTTGTTGTGGTGTTTTGTTGGCGATTCATCGAGTTCTGGCGAACCCACAGAAACTGGCTGTGACTCTCCAACTGGTAATGGCGAGTGTTCTGCAGATAAAGGTGAAGTAGGTACTGGTCCAAAGAGTGACGACGTTAAGAGTTGTTGTTCTGTGTAACACGTTGTTTTTGGTCGATTTGACCACTTTTTGACAGGAGTGGCTGCTGGTGTTGAGCACGTAGAAATCTTAATTGTGTTAGGAACGCTCTCCACTTTAGTCACATCAAACACCATGAAGTCAACTTCATCATCTTTTGTTCTTCGTTCATCCTTTCTTACAATGAAGCTGAGTAAAATTGATAATGCGTCGTCGCTAGCCATTCCCTCTTGTACTGCTTTTGCATCGATGACATGTGGAATGCCAATAACGCTCTCCATAGTCTCAAAACACACTTCGAAATTCTCCACATCAGTCTTATTGAACATATCTGGGGTGACGGCATTTGTTTTAAAATAGTTAGTAATGTCTCGCCATATATTGATATTAGGGTAGTCCACCCTCATATTGACATCTTTTCCAACAACACGAGTTGCCCACTTATCGAAAGTAGATGGGGTGACATCATAGTCTTTGAACCAATATTTCTTAATAAGACACGCCAAAAACTTTTGAATAGCTTGGTCACTCTTTTCGATGAAGTTGGATGACGTAATCATTAGAAATCCATTTTCCCTCAAAAAGTCGGTGAGGACGTTGACATTGTTTTTCTCTTGTATTTGTCCATTTGGTTTCATATTAAACCGTTTTACAGTTTTCCCAGTCACTGTTTGTAAGAAGAGAGTCAGAGGAATTCCACTTTTCATATCGTCTAAGACATCATTGATTATATAGGAATTCCCATTCACATAATTTAATACAGCTTTGTAACTGTTCAGTTGCTGTGGGATAATCGTGCGAAGAAGATACCCCTGCGACATACGCATTGACCTTCGCATTGACATCGGTTGGTTGTGATTATTTAGTGTTGAGTTTGTTTCAACTCGTCTCCAACACTAGAAAGCCTTTTCTTTTTTGCTTTGTGGAGGTTTTTCGAATTCATTTTGGCGTACTCTTTTTTTAACAATTGGTTATAGCTGTTTTATTATAATCTTTAGATTTGTAGAGTCTGTGATTGTTTCTTTTTCTTTAATAAAGTTGGCATTCTGTTTGTTTTGGTAAATTATATGGTTGATAAATTGATAGAATGGTATTGAAAAAAAGATTTTGTCGAGATAATATGAAGGAAATAATATTATTATCATTAATTCAGAAAATTGTATTAAAATATATGTTATTTTTTAGTTAATAATATTATATTATTTTACTATTAAATTATTAAAAAATGTGGATATTTTATTTAATTTGTTATTATGACAAATTAAACAACATATAAAAAGAAGAAAAAAAAAGATAGCAGTTATTTTTTGGAATGGAAACCTCTTATTACTGAATCAAAAAACTAATAAATTAATAATAATTGAAATATAAACCATAATTTGAATTATAAATAACTAAAAATATTGTGGTAATAAAAAAAATAAAAATCTACAACAACATTTTAATAACATTTTTGGTTGTTAATTTGTGACACAAATTAAATGAACTATTTAAGACAGACTTTACATTTTGTATGAACAGTGAGCAATCAATAGTGAGGGAAATGGCAAAGTTATTATCGTATCACGGGTTTCGTCTTGAAACCCAAGGCGCAGCCGAGTTACTCAATAGATACGAAAAAGTTCATGAGACAACAGACGTCAACACCTTTCTCAAACCGTTTATCAAGCAACTTTATGATACTCTACCACAGCTCGGCATTGTCACCAGTGACGACGTAACGCACTTCTACTCGTGATTGATTATAGTTTATTTTATTGGTAATTAAATTAATAACAATATTATTATTTAATAACTAGAAGTTGAACTTCTATCAAATGGAATCTTCAAAGAAATTATAAAATATAGTAGAATAACCATAAAAGAACTAAAAAACGATCGAATTATAAAAATAGAAAATACAATTATAAGAACCAATAGAAGCCGAGTCCGATGGAGAGCGCAGCCAAGACAAAGAAGATGAAAAGGCCAATTGAGATTTCTCCGTATTTTCTAGCTACATTTGAGTAGCATCCCCTTGTATAGAAGTAATTGAAGACCCAGAGGAAAGGTACGACAAGTCCACAGAAAAAGAGTATCATAGAGATACGGTCGGCTTGTTTGTCAGCTTCACTGATCTGTTCGAAGTCTTGAAGAGGTTGGACCAAGGGCATTTCTTGTGTTGTTGGGTAAATGTAGAAGTATTGTTGTGTAGCCATTAATGTAAGGTGATATGAATTGTTAAAAATTCCAATTTATACTGTCACTGTTTCTCATTGTTTGTGCAACGTGTCATTCATTTCATTGGGTAAACTACAGGGGGTGTATAATACATTTTATAGTTGTTTTATAGAATTTGTCTGCATTTCATTGTTATTTGAACTATAGATGTACTATTCTTTATAGTTTATGATTTTGAGGTTTTTTATAGAACGGGAATGAACATTATGGAATATTTTAATTATAGTTTTGTTATAAAACAACTATTATTTTACTATAAATGTAATGAGAAATGAGCTATTTTCGAGCGAATCAAAGAAGAAAAAAGAACCATTTTTGGATTAAGGCGACATTTCCCGAAATTTAGTGTAATCACGACCTGAAAATCTGAGAAAAAGGACACTAACATGCCATGTCGCGAAATTATTTCTCATTGACTTTGGCATTTTTTTCTATAATGTTTTTATGAAGAAAAGATGGAAGAAATGCCATGAAACTTGTTATTCTTTGTTTTTTCACGAATTAATACTTTTATAGTTTAAAATATTCAAAAACAAAAGTAATTTTTTTTAATAGTTACTTGAGTTTTTGTAGTTAGAACAAATTGGCAATATCGTGAGAGTGGTATTGTCACATTAATTAACTAAATGAAAAATACAAACTTCGTTTGATTAAGTTAAATATTTTCTTCTGTAATAAACGGGATATTAGTTGAGATCCAAACAACCCACTTTTGGTTCATCCAAACAAACTGTTTTGTTTTTTACAACTCTTTGCGTAGAATCTGCGACGAGATTTTTAAGATGACTTTGACATCATCTCATAATTACTAAGATATTTATGTTAATTATAATTCTATATATATAAAATTGAAAAAGTCGATTTTATGCCAAAATTGACAAAATCAATTTTCAAAAATAGGGTTTGAGAGTCAAAAACAAAAACGAACTGAATAACATTTTGAATGGCTGATTTGGAATATTCGCAACCCCACAAAATTTTGGCGTATCAAGAGGTGAACTTTGGTACTGAAGTTGTGCGTCGGGCTGTTTTAGTGAGGTCGGAGTTAGCAGAAGAATCCGATATTAACTTATGTCCATCAGTCTATTTACAGCGATACAACCAATCGAATATCATCGGATATGGTCAATGTAGAAGAGATAGTCCACTCATAACACATTCAGGAAAGACAGTACTCTGTGAAGTCTTTTGGGTCAAATCAGTCACATTCCCTAGAAAGATATGGGTACACAGAAGATTACTGGGGGCTGAAGCAGACGCTATCTCACATAAACTACTCACTAAACATAACGTGTTCATCTTATACCCTTCACTTAAAACGGAAATATTAAAACCTGTATTTAAAAACTCGGCAATGGCTCTTACTCAACACTCAAAAAACGCAAAAAATACTAGACCTATGCCACTCATCAGAGAGGTGCCGATTCATCAGGCTAAAAAAACTCAAGTCACTCAAATGATCAAACCACCTAAACCTGTTACAATCGTTAAAGAACCTACTCTCCCTAAACAACGTTACATCGGTGACGCAGTTACGTTGGATTTGATTAAGTATATATTTGCAATCGGTTCAGACTCTTTGGGACAAAGTGTTGGACTTAAGTTTTGTATGGAAAAAGCTTTTCCCACATACAAAGAGGTTTGCTTTTTTACACTCACAAGATATATAACGAATAGTTTCCTATAATAACACCAACTTTTGATATAGAAAATTACGTTACCGAAGTATTAAAAATGATCAATGCGACATATCCCAAACCCGAGAACTACTTTTTCTGTTCACTCTTTTTGTTTTCTGTAGAAATAGCTCAAATAAGGCGGGAATGGATGTATCGATTTGATCAGTTAGACGATTTTAAGCGTCTTATTTTCAACATGCGAAAGCACTTTGAAATGGTGAGTTTTGTTTTTACACAGCCGATGTTTACGCTCTGTCAAATTATCTTTGAAAGATATTTCATAAACGAGAATGTTGACATTCAATATTTATTACTACAGATATCCGAGCCTTTTGTGTGGGGTCAGATGGAGGTACGGAAGTTACAGTATAGTTATCGTTTAACCCCTCTTCCGATGAATCCATTTTGTCAGCATTAATTCATTATATGTAGTCTTATTTGTTCTTTTCTTTAAATATTTAAAAGCAATAACTCAATCTGTAACTAGTAAATTATACAAAAGAAGTTAACAACAAGTTTTCAAAGGAGGTCATGGCAGTCTCGATCTGCTCCATATTATCTAATACAAATCTCTGTAAAGTCAAGTTCCTCTTTGTTTTTCGCACAACGACAATGTGACTTTCAAATATCATTAACAGTGTTTGGCAGTTCTTAAAAGTGTAAGTGAATTCAATGTTTCTCATTGTTTGGAGAAACAATTCTTCGAATATTTTGCACTGAAAGTCGGATACAAACAAGTTTCCATCGAAGTTCAAAAAGGTTGATTTCAGTGAGTTAATTGAGGGGGTGAAAACAATGGAAGACCGGGAAGAGTGCACCATCCCAACAATTTGTTTTATATTGAAATCTTTATAAAAATTGTTATCCACTTGTTTCTCTGATTTGAATATTAATAGAAATACAATTCGTTCTTTTGAAGTTTTTGAAAGTGGGTGTGATGATATGAAAGTGTCAATGAAAATGTCTGGGGCATTCGCATTTGCCTCCATATACAATGGACAATGTTTCTTTGAGAACAACCATCTATTGAGCATTAAAGATGATAACGAGGAAGTGTGTTGTGTGTATCCTCTTGTCAATTGAAAAAACTTAAGTTGGTGTTGTGAAGGCATTTCAGTGAATAGAATGGACTTTTCGTTTGCTATAAAACACGTTTTGAAGGTACTGTATTTCTCTCGAAGTACATTCATTTTACTTGATAAAAAGAGAAACGAATTTTGAGCAGCCACACATGATTTAATGGAGTATAACGAGTAAAATATGTCATTAATCTTAAACGATTGAAAAACTATTTGGAAAAAGATTCCAAGTGTGATTTTAGCTTCCACTTTATTGTACATGTATCCATATGTCAGACTATATGATTCTTCTATAAATTTCAAGTACTTCAAGACGTGGATGTCAAACGATTTATTCACTTGTTCCAATTGCAATATATATGATATTGATGGAGTGACATAAGATACATATGTAGTGACCCATTTCGTTCGAATTGTTGAGACATTAGACTTGAAATTTTTAATTATAGAGATGTAGGAAACAATATGATTTAAAGAAACTACAACAGCAGTCTCTTCGATCTTTCTAAAAGTGTATAATATCCTCTCGTCTTGATGACCTTCCTCTACTACTTTGTCCAAATCAACAACTGCAAAATACCTGATTTTCCAAGGAAACTCCATTGTTTCCTGTTTTCTACTTTTTGGAGTGTTAAATACACTTCTTTCGATTTTTTATTCTATTCAATTCGTTGTAATTAACTGTACTATATTTATTAATTATTTATACATTTTTTGTTGATCGAAAGAATAATGGATATCAATAGTTGTTTTAAATGATTAACTGTATTAGAATAATAGAATATGTCCATGCAATACCATGGCTATTTAAAGAATTAGGTCAAGACAGAACTAGAGAATTAATAAAAAGAAACCATAAAAAGAATTAGAAAGCAATAGAGAGGAAAAGCAACCCCATTTCAAAGAAAAGAAACTGGAAAATGGAGTCGGATGTCTGCACAACAAAAACAATTTGCGATTGCATTTGCTGCTCTCTTGTTGCACGAGACAAAGAAGGAGATCAACGTCGAGAATTTGACTGCCGTTTTGAAGGTCGCTGGTGTCCAAATGGACCAATGGGTTGCTGTCATGGCCAAGGCATTCACTCCAGAAAAAATCCAGGAGTTCCTTGACAATTTCGCTTCATCGGCTCCAGTCGCCGCTGCCCCAGTCGCTGCCGCCGAAACCAAAAAGGAAGAAACTAAGGAAGAACAAAAAGAAGAGAAAAAAGACGAGCCAGAAGAGGACTTCGGCGGATTTGGAGATCTTTTCTAAGCGTAACTCATTGCTGAGGTAGTTTGGTTGTTTAAAAGGGTTTAATGGTTGTTATCTCTCTATTTTTAAAGGTCATCTATACTTTGAAGTATAACTTTGTACTTCATTAGACAAATTGTATTCAAGAAGTATTATGATACTATTAATTATAATATATTCCATATAATTTTGTTTATAAGTTGAAGAACTATAACTGTTTATAGTTTTGAATATTATAAAAATATTATACTTATTATTATAAGTTAAGTTGTTTTATTTAACTAAAATAATGGGACCTACATTGACCACCACCACCTCTAAAAATAGATTTATTTTTTCTATTTCGAATCATATTCAAATTAAAATTATAGTAAATAGGAAACTGGGATAATATTAGGTCTGGTTCCCGAATTCAAGAAATGCCGAAAATTCGCCTCGAGTCAGTGGAAACCGAGAAAGACGGAGCATTGAAAAGAAGGCTCTGAAGACACACCCAAACAGTCTGTTTGTGCACCGTTTCATTCACTTTCCAAGTCCTCCCTTGGCGCGGATCCCCCCCTGACCCCCCCGCAAGCGGGGGGGGGGAACCACATCCGCGTCCACACAGTACGGACAAGGAAAGTGGGTGACATGGGGACGCACAAACAGTGGCTGAAAAGTGGACTTCCTTCAAAAAACACTCGCGGCAAATATTTTATTTTGGTAAAGGTGGTGGTGGTGGTGGTCAATGTAGGTCCCCTAAAATAATGGGTTTAATTTATTTTTTTTAAATGAACCAATTAATCTAAAACATTAAATGATATGAAATGTTTGATAATGTTTTCTTTTATTGAATGAATTTGTCATTCGATTGGTGTTCATCTAATTTTATTAAACTATAATTAAACTAATAATATGCTTTTAAAAAAAAACTTCAACAGTTTTATTCATAACAATTGTATACTATATAATAAATTAAATTACAAAGAAAGAGATAGAAGTACAAATTCTATTCTTGTTTCTATGAATTCATAAACAATTTCGATAATAAAACTCGAAACCATATATCTAAAAAACTCAAATGTCAAAGAAAAGGGATGACGACGAAGCAAGTAGTGAAGACATAGATGGGGTCGAGACTGGTTTTGTTGAGTCGGACATGAAGCTTAAAGCCAATCATTTAGAACTTCCGATGTGGGTGTGTACGCAGTCGCGTATTTTTGTCGAGACGTCGAGTGATTTATTTGATGAAGTGAGTGAATTACTGAATCGTGTAGCTGAAGCTGCTAGTCGTCTGAAATACATTCATGAATACCGACTGACCGACAACTCAATCATGACAGCGTTTTCCTTTGGGATGACACCTGAGGAGTTAATCATCTCACTGGACAAGTATTCCAAAAACATTCTTCCAGACAATGTGAAGAGTCAAATTCGACAAGTTGGAGAGAAGAATCAGAATCTCCGCCTTGTGTTGATCAATGGGAAGTATTACCTTCAAGCGGAAACGGAGGACCAACTTAAAAACGTGTTGGATGAAAAGATCAAGACGTACTGCAACTCGAGTATCACCGAAGTGAAGGAAGGAGAGGACTTATACAAAGACCTTGACTTAAATCGGAGTGTCTGCATTGTCGAGATAAAGCCGGAGTGTGTATTCAAGTTGAAGAAGAGGTGTAAAAAGAAAAAGAGGAATACACGCATTTATGAGGAGTACCACTTCTTGAAGGACAAACAGAAAGAACTCTTTGGAGAACTTCGGAGTGATTGTCTTCATCCGCATCAGGCAAAAGCACTTCAACAAATGTTTGACAATGAAATAGCGCGGAGTGGGATCATTGTGTTGCCGTGTGGTTCTGGGAAGACACTGACTGCTATTGCAGCTTGTATGAAAATCAAACGGTCTGCCGTTGTGATTGGCAATTCGACGCAGAGTGTGTTGCAATGGAAAAATGAATTTTTGCGGTGGTCTACTGTGAAGGCCGAGTCTCTCAAGCTGTGTATTTCCGACAAAAAGGAACAACTTGGTGATGATGCGTGTATTCTGTTCACTACATATTCGATGCTTTCATTTTCTGGGACACGACAATATGACGGCCAGCGGATTGTGAATGACTTAATGAAGAGGGAATGGGGAATGATTATCTTTGATGAAGTGCAGAGTGCCCCGACGGAAAGAGTTCGAGACTTTTGTAATGGTATTAAGGCGCAATGTAAATTGGGATTGACTGCTACCCTTGTGAGAGAAGATAAGAACATTAACGAACTTGAGTTCATGATTGGGCCAAAGTTGTATGAAGCGTCATGGCAAGACCTTGCCAATCAAGGGTATATTGCAAAGGCGAAATGCTTTGAAATACTGTGTCCGATGTCAACGTCGTTTTATACTGAATATGTCAGTGCGGAGAAGAATATTGAGAGAAGGTTACTTTCTGTGATGAACTCGAATAAGGTGGACGCGTGCAAATTCCTTGTGAAACAACACTTAGCACATGGAGACAAAGTCATTATCTTCTGCGATGATCTTGCACCTGCAAGTTACTACTCTAAGAAATTGAATTGCGTCTTGATGGACGGGAAAACGCAAGAAGAGAAAAGAAGAAAGATCTTGGATGGGTTTAGAAATGGAGAACACAAAGTCGTGCTATTCACACGTGTTGCGGATGTGTCCATTGATCTGCCAGATGCGTCAGTAGCAATTCAATTGAGTTCGAATGGCGCGTCGAGGAGACAAGAGGCGCAACGTCTGGGTCGAATTTTGAGAGCAAAGAAGGGAGCCGCGTCTAATCGAGCGAACGCATACTTTTACACACTAACATCACAAGACACTCGTGAGATGTACTTTTCACAGAAGAGACAACACTTCTTACTTGATAAAGGGTATGTCTTTAAAACAATCAACTTGCAGAAAATTATGCCCCTCAAACCTGAGAATAAGAAGCAAGACCAAATTGTCATCAATAACATTATTAATAAGTGATTGCCTTGATCGTTCATCATTTGGGTGTTGAGGGAATGGATTGTACTTTACACACGTGAATAAGAATAACAGAGACCTCATTTGGATGGGGATACTTTTTGATGTTGCACTGCATCTATTAATGAACTTTTCTTTTCAAAAAGAGTGAACTCTTGCTCTAAATTTGCTAAGTCGTCTTGACTTAATAAATTGTCAAGGCTCTCCTCGACATCTCGTTTCAATTTGCCTTTGCGAGGAAGCGTGTTTTCGATGTAACGGGGGTCTTTTTTGAGATAATCGTAAGCCCTATTTCGACCCTTTTTCTGTGCAGTAATGTGTTGAAGAATCAGTTGTTCTACTAGTGATATCATCTCTCGTATTTTCTCGTCTTTTAATCTCCGTCGCGGTGTTTTTTCATCTTCAATTGTGATGATATCGCGAGACATTAAAAGACAGTCTGACTCGTTGTCGGTGTGTTTCTCCATTCAGTGTATTTATTAGTTATAGTTTATTTAATTATATGAAAATAGTATCACTTGAATTAGTCATAAAGGTTTTGTGAATTATTTAAATAAATTATATTTTTATATTAAAAAGAATTGAATTGTAAACTAATAAAAGTAAAAGATATGGAAAACATCTTAAACCCAACAATCACTTTCGACGTCTCGCTGTTGGAAAAAGTCATTCAAACTGCGAACTCCACAACTGACTTGCAATTAATGTCGAGAGCACAAACGATATTGACACAATTTTTGACACAACCAAATTCATACCAAAAAGTCCCGACTATCCTTTCCCTCTCGTCGGAAACAAATACAAGACTCTTTGCTCTGCAAGTGATGTCATCAGCAATTCATAATCAATGGAACACTTTTACACCACAAATCATCGAAGCGATTAAACAATTTGTTCTCAATATGATTAATCAACTCTCTTCGGACGCAGCAATACCTAAAGTCGTTTTGAACAAGGCAGATACTTTATTGGTCGAATTGATAAAACATCTGTGGCCATCGTACTACCCCTCCTTCATCGACGAAGTGATTTCAACAGCACAACTGAATGAATTGTCATGCAACAACTCACTCTCAATTTTGTCAATTCTTGCGGAAGACATTTACTCAGAAAAGCTCCAAACGCAACACATCTTCGAGCTCAAAAACACGTTGGATCTTAACCTTCCAACCATCACAAAATTCTTTTTGACTGTTTTGACTACTTCAACAAACGAACAGATGTTGATCGCATGTTTAAAGTCTTTACAAACGTACATTGGGGTCATGACATTCCAATCCTTCTCAACAACGGGATTGGCAGAAGCACTTCTTGTTCTGCTCCAAAAAGTGAACACGGAGAGTCAGTTGTTCATATCAACACTCTCTGTGTTTGTCGAAATCTCTCAAATGAAAGTTCCCCCATCGCCACTTCCTTTACTTGTCTCATTCACAAATATCATTCTCGAGAAAATTGGAAGTCTTCAATCGTTTTTGACAACACCACAAAGGAAAATGGCGTTCAGATTATTGACAATCACCGTTGCACAGTTTCTAAGTAATGTCCAGATCACTCGTATGAATGGAGAAGCCATAAATGCAATTCAAAGTTTGGTGATATTCTCTGACAATTGTGACGGTGACGCATTCTTCGCGTGTTCGGAAGCATTCCTCCAGATATTAAAGAACTTTGAAGTTGACCCAATGATTCCACAGAGAGAGGTAATTGCACAAAACATCTTAAAAGTGATTCTGTGTAAGATGCCCGCACCACGAGAAATGTTAATGGTTGAAGAGAATGGTGTTGTAGTACGAAGAAAGGTAGAATCGATCAATGATGTGCTTGAAACGATATTAAAAGATAGTTTGAGTTTGTTAATCAAATTAGTTCCAAGTATTGGAGAGTTCATGCTGAAATGTTTGTACGAAGAAACTGTTATTCACAGAGTGTTGAAGATTTGTTATTCGATATCGGCAATTTCGTCGCAACTCCTTCCGTCGATTGAGTCGTCAGTCTTCTCGAAATGTGTTGAGATACTGATCCTCAAAATAGGAAAGGGAAGCACAAAGTCTGAAAGAGTGTTATTGACTGGCGGATTGCTAGTGGTGATATCGTCATACCAAAAACTATTAATGAACACTCCAGTTTTCCTCCACGTCGTTATTAACAAAATTTCTGAATTTATGAGAGACGAGAGTCAAATGGTACGTGTCATGGCGGTGAACACTTTTCGTGTGTTGTGTATAACGTGTGGAGCAACGCTCCTTCAAAATGATATATTAGAAGCGTTCAATAATTCTCTAAAAGTTGATTCGGTGTTGGGGTGTTTGGATCGCAATGAAAGAGACTGCTTATTTGAGTGTTTTGGAATTATCATTGGGCTGAGTCGCGCCGAGTTGTGTGAAGAATTCATATCAAGAGTGTTTGGACGGTCGCACCAGATCATTTGTGAGTATCAAAACACCGAAAGCGATGAAATGTGGAGGAATGAGAGGGGTCTTCGAGAAGCGATTTCTGATTTGAAAGCGCTTTTGAGGACGTCACAAGGTGCAATGATGAGGTACATGAACCAAATTATAGCTGGTGTGTTGGCGATGTATCAAAATGGGATGAGGAGGATGTTTTATACGTTGGAGAAAGGATTGTCGATAGGGAACATGGTTGTTGTTTTGAGTGATATTATCGAGGTGATAACAATGTATCTAATGGGTCTTGACCGAATTGAGTTAAAAACGAGTATCCATTTGTTAGGGGGAGTGATCATTCCATTGTTTGTGAAAACACCGAAGTTGTATCGTCCAGCGAGTGTTGTGTGGTTATATGCAAATGTCATGGAAAAGCTTGGGAGTGAAATAACAGACGAAGTTGGAAACTTTTATGGACAAATCAATTCGAGTTGCCTTGAAATCATTCGCGACGACATGTCGTCGAATCCCGACATCCGAAGAGCGTACTTCAAGTTTTTAGAAATTGCGAGTAAAACGGTTTCGTCGAGTTTTGCTGTGACGAGTAAGAGTGATTTTGATTTGACTGTTGACATTGCGTGTTGGGGGATACGACATTTAGATAAAGAGGTGTATATGTGTGGGTTGAATATCATTCTTAATTTGCTATATATAGGCTTTATGAATCAAAATATTGCAGTGATGGCGTTGTTCAAAGACAAAGTAGCAGAGATAACGAATTCAGTGATATGTGCCAATCTTGATTTGTGCCATACTAACAATTTTGATGACATGGTTGAGGTATTGAGGAGACTTGTAGTTGTGAATGAAAATGCGACGAAGGGAGTGGTGGTCTCGTACTTCAATGAAAACTTTGGGATTGAACAAAATCAACTTTTGCCATATCTCAACAACGTTTGGGCGAAGAAAGGAGTTGCTGACCAGTTCAAAGCTGGGTGGCTTGAGATGCTTGTTTCTACAAACGAATTTAAAGTGCATGAACTAAAGAAAACAGAGTAACAAACTGTTGGAATAATTACTGAGTGATTTTTATTGTTTGATTTCTTAATACAAAAATGTACAGTTTTGTCACACAAATTGTGTAACAAAACTGAAATTACTTAATAATTAAATTCAATTGATGGAAGTAGTACACAAGAGTAACAACCTTGAAAGATTTTATTTACTTAATGTGATATTGTATTTGAACAAAAGGGAAACTATATTGAAGTTCATTTTAATTAACAAAAAATGTCTCCAGTCGTGTCAAGACTTGTATACTAACCCAAATATCAAAGACTCGTTTGAAGACTTGTATTTTACTATTGCGCTGTTCAAGAAAATTAATACACTGAATTTTGATATCAAACAAGTTGAATATATATCAGACTTGATAAGTAAACATCTAACAAAAGCAAAAGAAGTGTTCGAATCAATAAAAATGTCAAATTTAAAAGTTACGATTGATCATTGGAACAATGAAATGTACGAGTGGTGCAAAGGGGTTGTTGGTAATTTCAAAGAGATTACACTGTTAAACACTTATATCGAGTCTCCTTTGTCAATAACACTTTCTAATTTAATAGGGCAAATGATGACTCTCCACAAAGTAGTTTTCTCAAAGTTTTTTATAAAGAAAATGTTTCTTGAAAAAGTCTGCCAACAAGTCAAAATCGTCGTTTTAAAATTTGAATCATCATTTCGAACACTTTATAGTAACATAGAATATTTAAAAGTATCAAAAGAAACGACAATTATTTTCTCAATGAAAACTATACGACCAGATGACTTGAAGATCATACACCAAATCAAAGAAGACTTATATAACCAAAACAAAGTTGTTGTTTTCTGTGAAATAGCTTTAGTGCCACTAACAGATATTTTGTCTCAAAAAGTTCTATTACTTCAAAAAAACCAATTATGTGAAATTTCATATAACCAAGTTGATACCCCTTTGTTTCAAAAGGTGGTGGATTTGTACGCATTAAATCAAATACTATGTGATGGTATTCAATGCCCCAAAACTTACATATTTCATACACAACCAAAATCACAGCTTAAAGGGATTTTACAACTCAACTTATATGCTTTTACATTACTTCTTCATTTGGAGGATTTTATATCAAACAGTCTGCACACTCTTAATGTTCAACGAGTGGCTTTGTTACCAAAAGTTGATTTAGAAACATTCAGACTCATAGAAATCAATTTCACTGCGTGTGACTTTGAGGTAATTAAAGTCCCAAAGACTCTAAAAATAATAAAAATACAAGACAACCAATTGTTGAGTAAAATTGAAGGACTTGACATACTAGAGTTGGACATTATTTACTTAACATATTGCCCTAGTATACAAGAAGTCTTTTTCAAAAAAGCAACCACTATAACTTTCATTGAATGTGGAATAGAGCATATAAACGAAGAGTCAATTCTGAACTCAAAAGAAGTTGTTATTAACAATTGTAAATACAAAGATGAACTTGGTTTCGATTTGAAAGAACAACCAAGTAACTGTGTTCTTAATTAAGTGATTTATACAACACTAAACGATAATAAAACCAATTAGTCAATAGTATTGCATATATAACAAATGTATTATATAATGTAATATATGTTTTTATTATAAAAAATTAAAAACTTTTCTTATGAATTTTTTTCAATTCAATCTTATTCCAATTATAAGTTAATTTAAAAGTCGTATGAATTTTGGTTTCAAATCTCCACAAAAACGGGATTTCTAAGGTTTTTAGAACAAATTTTGTGTTTTATTTTTAAATCGTATTTTTCGTTTGAAAAAGTCAATAAATTTTCATGGTGTTTTTTATAATTGAAAATGTGTTATAAAAATATTATATAATATGATATTTTTACTGATTTTTTTAAACAACTTTTCTTTGTATTTTTTCTTCACCAAACAATAATTCATGTTTTTTTTTCTTTTGAATTATTTAGCAAGAAACGAAACCAACGGCATTCAATATGAATAGGAACCATTCCATTTGTTCAGTATTTTTCACGATACTTATTAAAATATTATATTTTTACTATAAAAATAATTGATTAACAAAAATTTATTACAAATTTCAAAAACCGGGTTTTATTTTTAAATAATCCAAGGTTTGAATTCAAACAAAACTATACCAAACTAATAAAAAGAATTAAAATGAATGGTTTTGAATTATTAGGAATAATTAGAATCATTAAAAGAAGAAAAAGCACTACTTTTTTATTCAAACATTGACTAATGCTTTTTGCACTAAGTCTTATTGTCACAACGGTTCTTGGGTATTGTATTAACGATAACACGATTACTATTTCCACATTAAACTCATGTGATGAAATCAAAGTTGATTCTAACAACAACCCTTTAATTGAAAGGAGTGGAAGCAATGTCTTAGGGGGTGTTACGTTCAACCGACTGTTGATTCGAAGTAAAAGTGTTCCAACTACTATCACAATTAAAGACTCTTCAACAAGTGTTCCATTTATTTTGTGGTACGATTCGGGTAATTGTTTGGTAGATACAATCCACTTTTATATGACTGGTATCAACAATCAATGGGGTCTCTATAATAACATGGACTCCGCAAAAGATCAGAGCTATTACTTCTATCCAAGTGAAGACAACTCTGACTCCAAGCCCTATGTATTTCGACCAAGGGTAAACGCTTATTTTGAAAATAAAAACGACAATTATTATATAACACTGGGATTTGATTTCTCTGATCACACAGTGGCGAGAATAAAAGGAAAGTTTAAAGTGTATATCTTCAGTAGTACTATAACATCATATCGAGGGTATGTCATGACAACAACGGATTCCAATGTTTTGGCACGTCCAAACTATATCAATCAAGTGATGTGTGTGATGAAAAACGGAAACATCAGGTTTGGTTTTAATGACACAGAACCTATAATAGAGGACTGCACGTGTAATAAGTTAAGTAACGGCACTTGGGACAAAAATGATTGTGAGCAGTATATTGAGTATTTACAATTTGTAGCAGGGTGTCATTACACAACAACAAAAATGGGAGAGAAGTATGGCGGTCTTAAATTGTCTGGGTGTGGTGTTGACGAAGTACCAAGTGTAACAGTTGACACTGCAACATCACTCACTTTAAATGACTTCAAAATAGATGCAAATGGGGCAATTTTTAATGTTAAAGCAACACTAACAATGAACATTGTTATACCTGAAAATACACCACAAATTATGATTAACGTTGACAGTGGAGCTTCTGTGACAATCAATGATGTGACTTTACCAGAAGGAGTTAACATGACAAATAAAATACTTTTTGTTGCGAGTGATACAACTGTGAGCGGGACAAACGTGAAGGCGTTTTGTGGCGGTACTTATAAACGGTTTGCCACAATTGATTCGAGTGAAGACGTGATATGTCAATGCAACTTTGATTCCACAAAAACAGGAGATGAGTATGTAGAGTCTGATTGCGTCACGGATTCTGCATATCGAGTGTTAAACTTGCCACTTTCAAGAACTATTATTGCATCAAGAACATGGATGAAAATTCAATCCAATGAAGAAACGACAATGACCATGAGTGAAGGAGTGACTTTGACTGCTACCAACGTTTTCTTTTCGAAGAATGTAAATATTGATGTGCCTCTTTCAGTCTCAAATTCTTTAACTTTGGGCTCAACAAGTGGGGTTTCCATCTTTGGGGATTTGACTGTAACAAATACAGTGACAACAGGAATTCAAAGTGGAATTGTTTTAATTGCCAAATCGGCGAGTTTGAGTGGGTTAACAAAAACTTGTGTAAATGGAGTTGATGGTAAAAGCCGATTTTATATTGGACTACCCGTAGACCCATTGTGTGAATGTAAATCACTTGGAAGCACTGATCTATTGGGATATGACCAAAGCGATTGTGAAAAGTCGTTTGCTTCGACTTCTTATGATTTGATTGTCCCATCAGTTTTTGCAACAACAAAAAGTGCCCAATGGAAAACGATCTCTTCAAGTGAAGATTATACCATTACCGTTGGTGATGGATTAACACTGACTGTATTATCATTTGCACCTACACACTCGACTTCTATTATTGGAAATCTCATCGTTCAAAATGAACTGACATTGAATGGTGATGTCAATTGTTTGTTTAGTCATATTCAATACACAAATTTAGTGACTACAGCAAACATTAATACTTTACTCTTTGTTGGAAACGCAATCAACCCAACAGGAGTCACCATATCATGTGCTGCTCTTACTGGTGTTACGCATAAAAGATATTACACAGAAGGGTCAACTGAAAATTGTAATTGTATTCCCTCTACAACAACAATCACATCAAATACCATTTATGACGTGTTTGATTGCCAAAATTATGCATCTGAGAGAATACTAAGTACTTCATCGAATTCGTTGACTGTTACTTCAAATTTGAATTTTTATGGATTTGAAAATAGTAACCCAATCACAATTACATCGAGTGGAAATGCAATCGAATTTAGTTCTACAAACGTTAAAAATACGATTACAGTGAATGGAACGGGTTCTTTGAAAATTGGTACTATAAATGGCGTTAATGGGCAGGCTCTTATTTCAACAGTTCCAACAACTGTAACAACAAATAGTGCAGAAAGTGGTTTTGTAATTGTTTCACCACCTTCTTCACAAATTGGGAACTTGGTAAGTCAATGTTCAATTACTGATTCCATAGGAAGATATTCAACAAACACGATTGGGTGTGACTGTACACCAAATGGCAATTTAGAGACATATGTTGAAGGTGACTGTAGTGTCTATAGCGAATACCTCAATCTCAAAATAACAGGAAGTTCAGAATTTAAAGATAGTAGAACGTGGAATACATTAAAGAATGAGGGAACGCCCTTTGATATAACTATCATTTCTGGGAAGACACTTACAGTAAAAACACTGACCTTAGACCTCGACACAACAATGAGTGGAAGTTTGAATATACAGAAATTAACTTTAAGTAACAACGCTTATGTTAAATTCAACTTAGTACCAACGATAGGCCAACTTGTTGTGAGTGCAGATTTCACAAACACAATTGCTTTTATCGCGCCAACTGGAATATCAAACACGTTGGGACTGTTTCAAGTTTGTACATTAGGAGCGATGTATAGATACTCCAAAACAAATACAGAAAATTGTTACTGTGATCCAAACATTGTGTCGGAAAGTATCATTGGTTATGTTCAAAAGGATTGTGTTGAATACAGTCAATACCTTACACTTCAAGTACCACAATCTGTGACCCTTACTGATAAAAATTGGAAGACATTAAATTTGCCAACAAATGCAATAACATTGACAGCAAGTGGGAGCGTCATTGTGGACAAAATGTCAATTCCAATTGAGAGTTTATTTAAAACAAGTGGAGATGGTAAATTGGTGATCAATGAAGTCACTCTGAAGTTGACTCTGACAAACTACATCGACTTGTCTGCTTTGCAAATCACTTCAGTTGTATTTGAAGATATCAATTATTTATTCACAACAAGACAAACAAATGTGATTACTAACACTATACATTCATGCACATTAAGTGATGGATATTTCAGAGTCACTTCAACGACCTCAAATATTGGGTGTAATTGTGTATTCAAAAGTGGATCTTTTGAACAGACGGACTGTGAATTGTTTAACTCAAAAAGTCCAGCTGTATACAATTTGATATCTTCCGACTATAAAAGCACAACCGCTGCGTATTACAAAACCGTTTCTGTTGAGTCCGGAAGTGTACTTTCAACAACTGGAAGTTCACAAATTAACTTTGATAGCTGTGATTTCACTGCAATGACACAAGTGACTTTAAATACGCCAACAATTTGTACAACAATGAGTGTGGCTAAAACAACTAAAATTCTCTTCTTTGATATTTTGAAGATAACGACACTCATTCTCCCAAATGAAGAACACACAAACAAAGGATCTGTTATTACAACAACAACTGCCGCGAACAAACTTGCGATTGGAAGTGTAACAGGGACTCAATGTGTTGATTTTGCATCGACATCGAAAGGAAATGAATTTTCAACTTCACAAATTCAAACTAATATGACACTTCTTTCAAATAACAGATTGATAAGGTACTGTCCAACAACTTCTCAATACAACACTGTGAAGTGTAAAATGAATGGGAACATTTATACCTCCTCTGTTTTTGATCAAATATATTGCCCCTGTGAAACATCAAACTGTGAAATATACCCAACAACAACTTTTATTACATTGGATGTTGGAATGTTGAACAAGGTTATTATCGAGAAAACTTCTCCAACAAGAAATATCAATGGGTTTAGTACACTTGGTACAGTACAAATTGAAGGGACTGATGGTATTTACACATTCAATGGATTGGCTGCAAGTAAAATAACTTTATTGGAAATATCTGGAGGTCAAAACACAGTCACTGTTGGTTCTTATGATACCACAGTTATAGCGACAACGATGAATACTTTACAAAGTGAAACAAATAAAATCAAGGTCTATGGAAGTGTTGGAACATTGACTGTTCCTAAGAAAAACACGATCTCAATATTTGGAAGTTCGACTATTCAAACTGCTACTCTGGGGAGTATCATTGGGACAACTCTTCAAATAAACAATTTTGAATACAAACGAAATGCGGATGATGTTTATTTATTGTCTGGTATAACATGGATGAGTGAAATTGAAAACAATGAAGGTGTGTCGATTGAGATGAGTAGCATTGTCGAGATCTCAAAAGTGAAAGTGGCTGTTTCCACCTTTGTGATGACGTTTTCTGTTTCAAATTCTGTTATTGGAACCATTGAAGGAGTCGCTGATTACAAAATTGTATCAACTGGAGATAACATTAAAGTTGGTCTTGGAAATACAAGTGGCTCTTTTGAAATAACAAAAAACATCGAATTTACATCGCCAATCGTAAATTTAAAAAGTTTGAAAATGTTGAGCTCAACTGGCTTTGCAAACATTTCGACAACAACAACACAACTCCAAGTCACACGCTTGGAATCTAAGAACACACAAGGCGTGTTTGGAATTGATCCTTCAACAACTGCTCTTAACGTTGTTTTGAACTCCGGATATGACGCACTTATCACAGCACCACTTATATTACTGTATGCAAGAAGTAGAAAGATCACAGGCGCGTCACTTCGATGTGACAACTTTGTTGTTCTTAGTGGTGTTTATACTGATGAGAAAAGAACATGCAAATCACTTGGACTTTATGAAAGAAGATGTGACTATGTGAATGACATTTATGTATTTGAAGGGAGTACGGATTATAGTTGCCCTTGCACTTCAATTCGTTCGAAGTGCACAATATCTCTTACTACAACTTTGTCGTCATTTTCTTTTACATCAGACTTCAAACCATCTATTTTACAGTTAGTAAGTGATGTTACTTTGGATTCTCTGAGTGGTGTTGAGTTGCAAATAAACACTCCATTTGCTTCTTTGGATGTTACTGGTAAAAATTCGGTTATTTCATTGTCATCAGATACATTGGCAAGCGTGAGTGTACACATGGAAACCACAGAGAGTTTTGTGGTCTTTTCAAAGACCCGAGGTTTGGGAAACACATTGAAGACAGGCGTTGGACAGTATTCGTTTAGTGTTGGTAAAAATGTGGACGTGTGCCAAATGTACGTTACTTTAAGGGATGTTACAACATGCAAGAACTGTCTACCGAACACAGGGACCGTATTGAAAGATGGCGTGTGCTCCGACTCGAACATTGAAAATTGCCAAATAGCCGAAGCCACAGAGAATAGTGTCATTTGCACGCTTTGTGATAGTGGGTATTACACCACAAATCAATCAACAAAGTGTGAAAAGTGTAATGTAGAAAATTGTGAAGAGTGTATGAGTGGAGATGGGAAGTGTCTCAAGTGCAAAGAGGGGAGTTATTTATCAGGAGACGTATGTATAACAGTGACCCCCGATACAACGAATTGTTTGTATTTTGCAAACACCTGTAGGAAATGTGAAGGATTCTTGTACCCATCTACTGGGTCAAACATGTGTTCTATGTGTGACACACAATGTAAGACATGTGAAGGGACTTCGGACACTTGTGTAGTGTGTAATTGGGAAGAAGGGTATTCATCTTCGAACGACCAGTGTATCAAAAACAGCAACGCCTCTGGTGTCATTGGAAATACAATTGTTTCGTGTTCTGTGGGATATTTCTTTAAGAACGAAATGTGCGTATCATGTACAGAAACATATGGAGAATGTCGGGTGTGCGACTCTTTTAAATGTCTTGAGTGTAAATCGGGCAAAATATTTAATCAAGATGGAAAGTGTGTTGAAGACACCAATTGTGATTTGATTCAAAATAGTCGGTGCACATCATGTGTCAATGGAACGTACATCAAAGAAGGGACATGTTCAGTTTGTGGAACTTCATGTAACAAATGTTACAATAAAGACACATGTTTGGCTTGTAACAATGATTCACATTTGACAGATTCGAACACTTGTTCAAACGAAATTAATAACGAGTGTTTAAAAGATACAATTATTGGATGTTTGAGATGTGTGGATGGGACCTACTTGCAAAACAACAAGTGTGAACCATGTGACTCAACTTGTTTAACTTGTTCAACTACTTCGACACATTGCAATTCCTGCAAGTCCAACAGTCATTTAGTTAATGGGAAGTGTATTGAAAATGATGAATTTCTACAGAAGTGTGACTTCTATATAGATCAATTAGATGGTTGTTTGAGGTGTAAAATAGGGTATTACAAGGAGAACCGAGAATGTTTAAAGTGTCACGATAACTGTACCTCGTGTACAGGGTATGACGTATGTCAGGAGTGTATTTCTGGCTATTACTATTCCCTTTCGACTTCTTTGTGTCTTTCTCAAGACGAGTTGGTGTACTGTGAAACTAAGAGTTCCAGTGGGTGTTTGAAATGTGCGAATGGTGTATACACTTTAAATAAAGAGTGTTACAAATGCTCTGATAATTGCAAGCACTGCATTTCTGTCGATACGTGTGGCATGTGTGAAGAGGGATATGTCTTAGTTGAAGGGCAGTGTCAACCGATGTCCAATGTAGTTGGTTGTATTTCCACATCGAATGGCTTGTGTTCGGAGTGTAAGTTTAATTATAAATTAAAGGACAATGGGAGTGGATGCAATTTCCGCATTAATGCTGTTGTTATAGTGATACCGATATTAGTATTTCTTATCATCCTCATTATAGTCTTTGTAATTATAGTGATTATAGTCTTCAAGGTCACTCGTTATAAAGCAGACAAAAAGAGGCAACAATCAGTGACTTCATTTAAAATGGACAATTCGTCGATAATATTCACTTCTCTCGACAAAAATCTGATGGTCAACAAGCAAGTCGTCGACTTTGTAGTTGAAGGGAAAGAAGCTGTAGAGGTATGTAAAGAGACAAAGGATTTAGTATGTGTAGGCAACTCAGGGACAAAAGTGGTGAAGGCTCAATTTTCTTTAAGTTCTGATTCGACTGATCGCTATGAACTTAAGTGTGAACCAGAGCTAGCTTTCATTCGACCGGGAGAAGCCGTAGAATTTACCATGACAGTGAATCCTTATTGTTCGTGTAAAGTTGATGACACAGTCAAGTTAGTGTATTGTCAAATGGGCAAAACAAAAGACTTCCACTTTGATATTAAAATAGCCTTTGAGACTGAAATTACAACACATTTGGACTATGGAGAAATCGAGCTTGAAAAACAAGTTGGTGAAGGAGCGTTTGGTATTGTGTTCAAAGGAGTTTTCAGAGGAAATTCCGTTGCGGTGAAACAGATGAAAAACTTTTCTTGTGACGATGATTCGCTTGATGAGTTCATGAAGGAAGTCTCCATGTTGGACAAATTCAGAGAAAACCACATAGTCCACTTCTATGGTGCTGTGTTGATACCTAATAAGTATTGTATGGTCACCGAATTTGCTGAGTTTGGAAGTCTTCAAGACTGCATTCATAAGATCAAAGAAGATAAAATGCCAAATGAAAAGTTGCGAGTGAAGTTCATATTGGATGCAGCGTATGGTCTCGAGTATTTACACTCAAATGGAATCATTCACAGAGACATCAAGCCAGACAATATTTTAGTGACTTCAATGAACGATGGGGTGGATGTCAACGCAAAGCTGACGGACTTCGGATCAAGCAGAAACATCAACTTACTGATGACAAATATCACCTTCACCAAAGGAGTTGGAACTCCTGTTTGTTTTCTTCTTATAATACAATAATAATATAATAAACTATTCAAGTGACAAATAGATGTATATGGCTCCAGAAGTTATGGACCAACAAAAATACAAGATGCCGTGCGACGTATTCTCATTAGCAGTCAGTTTTTATGAGGGATACACGTGGATAACCCCATACCCAGTCTCCGATTTCAAATTCCCATGGCACATCGCCAACTTTGTAATTGAGGGGAAACGACTCCCTAAGCCAAGCAGTATGCCCGACTGGGTTTACAGTATTATTTCGCAGTCTTGGGAACAAGAGCCAGTCGACAGACTTACTATTGACAATTTTGTCAACAAAACAAAGGAAGGATATAGTAAATTTTAATTCAGTTGTTAGTTGTTTAAGATAGTTATATTATACTAGTAATTTTGGTAAACAATATAGTTTCATATGACAATTTCTAAAATTTTAATTAAAATAATAATAATTATTAGAGTTTTATTCTAATAACTATGAGACTTTTTTGAAAAAAGCAGTCTTGTTTGCAGATTATAGTAAAATATTAAATTTATTGCAATAATTTTAAAACCATTTTGTATTATTTAAAAAACATAAATACAAAACTAAAAAAAATTCAAAATTTTTGATTTTTTATTCGCCAATGACTTGAATCAATTTCCATGAAGGTGTCAATGTGTATCACAAAGTGAGATAATTGTAGTTGCAACTTTCATGCTTTTGTGTACAAAATTGGGATTTAATTTCAAATAAAGGCGTCTCGATATCAAAATTGAATTCTTTGTTCGGCTCGTTTTATCAATTTGAATAATAATAAAGATAGAAATTAATGATAAATGGTTGTTTATTATTATTATAAAAAATAATTAATCTTATCATAATGGTTCCTTTCCAACAATTCCACTAATTATTGAATAATAACCTATTTATATATAGTAAAAATACTATAAAAGAGTAATAAATAATAAAGACCAACGAAAGGTTTAAATTAACTTAAGCGCTTCCTCTCCAGTTGTGACCGGCGTATGGGATCTTGGCGTCGAGTTCTTCTTCGATTCTCATCAACTGATTGTACTTGCAAAGTCTCTCAGATCTGCATGGAGCACCAGTCTTAATCTGTTTGCAGTTCAAGCCGACGACCAAGTCAGCAATGAAGGTATCTTCAGTTTCACCGGATCTGTGTGAGACCATGACACCCCATCCTCTCTCTTGAGCCATAGCGATAGTCTTGAAGGTTTCAGTCAAGGTACCGATTTGATTGACCTTAATCAAAACTGAGTTGCAAGCCTTCTTCTCAATGGCCATTTGGACTCTCTTTGGGTTGGTGACCAACAAGTCATCACCGACAATTTGGAACTTGCCGTGCTCAGTTGTGAATTTGTTCCAAGCAGCCCAGTCATCCTCATCGAATGGATCTTCAATGGAAGCGAGTGGGTATTTAGCTCCGTAGTCGACGTATTCAGCAATAAGGCTGTCGACGTCCTTGACCAAAGAAGCGTCCTTCTTTTCAGCTGGGATCTTCTTTCCAAGGTCATACTTTCCGTCCTTGTAGAATTCAGAAGCAGCACAGTCCATAGCAATTTCAATCTTTCCAGTGTAACCAGCCTTGGCAATGGCTTCAGTCAACAAGTCAAGAGCTTCACGAGCGCCTGAGACGTTTGGTGCGAATCCTCCTTCATCTCCAACGTTGGTAGCATCTTGTCCGTATTTAGCCTTAATAACGACCTTAAGGCATTGGTATGTCTCAGCAGCCATTCTCATAGCTTCATGGAAGTTAGTAGCACCAGTTGGGCAGATCATGAACTCTTGCATGGCAAGGGCATTACCGGCATGAGCACCACCATTGATGACATTGAAGCATGGGACTGGCATGCTCATTTCCTTGTGGTTGGTCAATTCGTTCAAGTACTTGTACAATGGGAGCTTCTTGAATGAAGCAGCAGCTCTGCAAATGCACATTGAGCATCCGAGGATAGCATTAGCACCCAACTTGCCCTTGTTCTCAGTTCCGTCGAGCTTGATCATCATCTCGTCGAGTTCAGTCTGGTTCAAAACATTCTTTCCAATCAAAGCTGGAGCAAGAACCTTGTTCACGTTCTCAACAGCCTTCAAAACACCCTTTCCTCCAAATCTGGCCTTATCTCCGTCTCTCAATTCAACAGCTTCGTGGACACCAGTAGAAGCTCCAGATGGGACAGCTGATCTGAAAAGTCCATTGTCGGTGGTGATCTCAACCTCGATGGTTGGATTGCCTCTTGAGTCGAAAATCTCACGAGCGTGAACAGTAAGAATGGTAGACATCTCTGTTTTTCGTTTTTGTCTTTGAGGTTTTTATATTAGAAACTACGTTCATACACGTGGATGTGTGTCACTAGGGATTTTATTTTTCTCCAAATTTTCTTATTCTTTTTTTTTTGAGGGAAAAAGACCATTTCCATCGCATTTTTGTGGGACTTTTTATTCATTTTTTTACTCTCTCACACTTTTTCAAAAGTTAAACAAAAAAGCAACACCATACATTAATTATTAGATGCAGGTTTCGAATTCGTAGTTCTCGCAGATTATCCACAAAAACAAGTTGGAAAAAAGTCGAAAGAAATCCTGTAGTTTTGCTCTCTTTCTAATGTCGTTTGATTTGGTTTTGACGTATTCATTTTTCAGTTATGAGGACATGTTTGTGTGTTGTTTGTTCATTGTCAAACTAATTAATTATAAATAAGTATTATTATTATAAAACAAATATGTTTAAAAATGTGTTTAGTTTGATGAAGTTAATTTATTGTTTTTTGATTACTATAATCTAAATTAATTTAATTACTTAATTTTGACGTAATTAAATAATTAACAAATAATAATTATAAAATATAATAAATTTTATTATTTGTTTCTAAATATTAACTTGTTATTGATTTATAATAAAAAACTTATTTGTTATAAATTTATATTATTGTTTTAATTATTGAATATTTTGGTTCAAATATAATAAAAATTAAGACAACATTATTAATAATTAAATTTATTATTTAATTGAAATCACACAATAATAATTTCTAATCCTTTATATTATCGTAAAATATTTATATTTATAAATTATTAAATATAATAAAATTATTATTATTTACTAATGAATACATTCTTGAAACATATAAATATCTTATTAAGAACATAGTAAACTTAATATTTGAAGAAATGAACTCAAAATTTTGATTTTCGTGTAATGGATCCAACAGAAGCTCTGTTGGTTGAAGTCCACAACTTACAAGAAGAGCTTTCCTTTTTACGTAAAAAAGTGGAGACAGTTCAGTTAGATAACTACGATGCAAGACTCACAACAATTCAAATAGAGATGTCAAAAAAGACTAAAGATTATGAAGAACTTGAAGCCAAATTTGTACAAGCATTAAATAGACAAAGTGTATTGGCACAAGAGAAATTGTTATTTGAATCAAAAGAACAGAATTTAATAGTTGAATATAAGACCAAATTACAAGACTTACAAAACTATTGCGATCATTTGAAACACAAGCGTAATAAGAAACACTCCAAAGAAAAGAAATCCCTTTTTCAAAAAGTACTTGATGTCACAGAAGGGCCAAAAAACAAAGTTGAGAAAGTAGAGAAGCATGTTGAAAAGGTGAAAGAGAAGAACGAGAAGTTCGAAAAGACGACAAAAGTGCCACTTGTAGTTCCTAAAAATGTCACTCCACCTGTATCACAAAATGAAAGCATTAAACAAAGTGATCAAATCAAATCAGAAACACCAAACTTGGCAAGCACAAACCCTTTTGCTGATTTAACAGTGGAACCCCAAATTAAACAAAATCAAGAATTGCCGGCAGTTCTACAAACAGACCTGAAAAAGTCCGAAACAAAACAAGATGGTATTGGACCGAATTTGGCAAGTACAAATCCATTTGCTGATACAAATGGTTTCACTCAAGTTGAACCCTTAAAAGAGCAGTTACCAAAACTAGACGTTGCACCTCAATATTCCTTAAACCCCTTTAGTGATACACAAAATTTGCCTCAAACAACAGAAAGTGGTGTGGATATACAGAAAGAAATTAAACATGCTCGCCAAAGCGAAACACCAAATATGAACTCGACAAACCCTTTTGCAGATGTTACAGTTGCCCAGGATAAAAGCGCTCCTAAATTTGAAAACCTGGAAAACACAAACCCATTCGCAGAGCCAAATATTAGTAGCAGCACTCCAATCGATTCTTCGCATCAGAAGAAGGAGTCGAAAGACTCCGTTGTTACCACAAACTTGGTAACGGATCAAAGTCTTGTTTCAAAATCAACACCACTGACTCCAATAGAGAAAGTTGGCACTCCAAAGAAGTCGCGCACCCCAGACAAAAGTCCGAGTAAATTATTGAAAGCAAAAAAGAGTGTTGTTGTGTTGAAAGAGACAACACTTGTGAAGTCGGAGATCATTGGTCCAAGTCAAAATGAGATTGTCGAGCAAATGCCCGTCCTTAAAAGTTTTCCAGTAGAGAAGCCCCAAGTTGTTATTCACAACGAGTTTGAAGATTTTCAAGTTAGTTCCTCATCGTCGTCTTCTTCTTCGTCATCGGACAGTGAAGACACTCCAACCTTCAACATTGAAAAGTTGAGTTCAGACAACATAGAGTTGAAGAAGGAGACTGTGGAGTTAAAGAAAAAGATAGAAGAGTGTGAGAAGAAGTACTTGGATTATTCCAATGTGATGTCCAAAGCACTTGATGACAAGACATTGATCGTTCAAACCCTTCAGAGTCGCATATTCGAGTTAGAGAACGAAAAAAAGGCATTAGAATTCAAGCATCATCAGCTTGAAAATAGGATCGAAGAGTACACAAAGAGCACATCCGACGAAGTGGAAGACAACAACATGTATCTTCTCGTCAATGGCATCTGTGTGTCGCTTAAATTAGCAAATCCCGACTTCGAAGACACGACGCTGTCCGTCGCTACTTTGAATCAAAAAGTGAAAGAGCGTAAAATCCCCATGTGTCAATGGCCACTTTTCATATACAATGAGTTTGAGAATGAGGTGGGCAAGTCGAAGGTGTAATTTTGTGTTGTATAAGACATTTTCTATTTAAATGGTTCTTTTTACTTTAAATTAACTATACCTTGAGTTCAATTAAAGAGATGGAGACCCACTTAGCGTCGCACTTGCGCTTCTTATTGAAAGTGATGATATGTGAAGGCGGGAGTTTAGCGGGGAAGTCGAAGAGTGTGTTAGGACCTCCGGCTTGAGTGATAGAGAAGTCGTTTTCAAAGGACCCCAAACTGAAGAGTTTCAACGAGTCGTCAGTGATGCACATCGTCTTTTTGAATGGTTTTGCTTTAATAGGAACTGAACTATAAGGTGGGTTGTGGACTGAGAACACATATTCGTCGCCGTCATTAATTTCGGAGTTAAGTTCCTTTGGAGCTTGTTTGTGGAATGTTGCGAAAGAGACGAAGTTGTTATTAGAAAACAATTTATAGAGCAACACGAAGTTTGTCTTTTTGTTCATCTCTTTGAACAGAGAAGTGAAATTTCCTGCCTTTTCAGTGATTTGGTATGTCACATTCTGTGACTTTGCTTGAGTTGTTAATAAAATGGTATCTAACTCCATTTTTGTGGGAAGAGAAAGTAACTCCTCTTGTGGTGGAAGTGCCTTCTTTGGAGTTTCAACGACTTTCTTTACTTTTTGTGTTGGGCTTGGCGAGTTACGAAGAGCGGGCGGAACATATGCATTCTCTGGACGAGTCTCTTTGACTTCTTCGTGTTGTTTCTTCTCTTCATCCTCTTCTACAGTGACGGGTAAAGCACTTCGAATGGCCAAAAAGCGTTCGGTTGGGATTGTCTCGAATTCTTTGCGTGTGATTTTCAAAAGAGTCATTCCGGCATTTTTCAAAAGGAAAGCAGTCCGATGGTCAAGCTTTTCTAAGGGAAGTATTGATGGGAGGGAGTTGTTAGAAATTGAATTATAAACTGCTAAAATCTCACCATCCTTGATGGTAAACATTTCTTTGATGTAAGTGACGGTCTCCTGGTCTGAGAATTTGCTTGTACTAAACAGAACAGCATCTTCACGAGTGACAATGAGCAAAGCTCTTAAAAGAAGTTTTTCCACGCGCTCGATGCGAGACGACATTTTTGAAGTTTGAAGTTTGAGGGTTCTATTTTCTTTATTTAGGTTGGTTGTTTAGTTCAGAGATAAGTATTTTACTAGAGACACTAGTTAACAGGTTATACTATGTACTTTAAAAAAGGTGAAAAGAAAAATGTTGTGAATAACATTTCTATTGTTATGAGTCTTTTGAGTATTTTAACATGGAATGGAACTATAAAGTGTTTTTTTAAGTTCATAATGTGGTGTTGTGTTTTGTAATAAATTCGAGAATATATTTTACAAAATAAAGTTTTCAGTATAAATAATTTATAACCAAATTCTTAAATAAATTCGACACAATTGTTTAGAGTTTTACTTCATTGAATTTTTTTTGTAAAAAAATAATATTTATTACTGAACACCAAATATTTTTTATTTCATATGTAAATGTTGTTTTTATTCAATACTTAGTAATTATTTTTTGCTTATTCTTATACTTTTCAAAATAAAAATTTTTTTGAAGACCAAGTAAATTTACTTTGTTTCATTTTTCTATATCATTCTCTTTGTTTTTTATTCATTTTCATTTATGAAAAAATTTGAAGGTATTCAGGGAAAGGCTTTTTTGTGAACACCATAGTATTCGAGTCATAACTGGTATACTATTTTTTTTTCAAAGGTATAAAAGTCAATCTGAGTTGAAATTTTTTCTGTGAAAAAAGAACCAGATAACATACAAACACAGAAGTTGAAAAGAGAAAAAAAAGGAATACCAGATACCTTGAAAAAGGAAAAAAAAGACACAAAATAAAGCAAAAATAAATAATCAAGCAATTGAGACACCACACGAAAAGATAAAAAGTAAGTCTGATCTCATTAATTGATAAACCCTCCAAAAATCTTCAAAAAATCTTACACAAAAATGTCCTCTAATGCAATACATTTTTGTTTAAACAATATTCATCTTTCCTTTCAAAACAAACAGAACCCTCAGATGTTGAAATGTATTGGAGTTTGGCATATAAAAGAAACTGAAAAAAGTGCAAAACAAAGATTATGGCAGAGACTGACAAGAAAGTTTACCTTTACCTTTTGGAGCACGGTTTCAAAGCATCAGCTGAGGCGTTGAAGAAAGAAGCCAAGATCAAGGACGTCACCTTTGAGAAGGATGAGCTGAGTGATGACAAGAAGCCAGTTACTGCAGAAGCCAAAAAGGAGCCTGTTAAGAAGACACCAAAGAAGACCACAAAGAAAGAAGAAAAGGAGGAAGAAAAACAAGAAGAGGAGAAAAAAGAAGAAGCCCCAAAGAAGAAGAAAACCACCAAAAAAGATAAGGAGGAGAAAAAGGACGAGGAAGAAAAAAAAGAGGCACCAAAGAAGAAGAAAACGTCAAAGAAAACTGAGAAGGAAGGGGAAGAACACGTGAAGGAAGATGACGAGAAGAAGGAAAAGAAGTCAAAAAAGACAACCAAGAAAGAAGAAGAGAAGGAAGAGAAAAAGCCAAGAAAGTCTGTGAAAAAAGCTGACGATGACAAGAAGAAAGAAAAGAAGTCAAAAGCTTCGAAGAAAGAGGCATCTGAATAAAGTTGTTTACGAAGTAATATTTACTGATTTTATCATTTTAGTTAAGTTCATTTCTAAATACTAAGTCACTTTTTGTAATTCAATTCTTTCAACTGGTAATCTGAAAAATATATTTTTTGAGAAAGTCTGTCAATATGAAAAAACTAAAAGGTATGAAAGTGATAGCCTTTGTTTTAAAAAAATGTTGTAATATATTTTTTTAATACTGTTGGGTATTCGTTCTTGAATTTTTTCTAGTTAATAATTTGTTTGATTTTTTACAAAAAAAAAGATAACTTAAAAATTAGTCGAATGAAATACACATTAAATTGTAAAAATTTAATCATAATAATTATTCAATCTACTTGTGAATTATATTAATTTACTAATAAAGTTAATTCAATATGTATTGTTAATAAATTTAATTAATACATGTGCTCCAATTCTTATATTCTAAGTTCTATAACTTTCATTATCATCTATTCTATTTTGATAAAAAAATAATGAATTATTTAATTGAAAAACACTTATTTGTAATTATAATAAATATTTTTATAATTAAATCCATCTGAAATAAACTCAAATAATTAAAATCATTTCGATGTCTGAAAGCGATTTTCAACACTTTAAAAAAACGACCCACCCACTCACTATTAATTCTTTAATTGCTCGTTCTCCTTATGGCTTTGGAGATTCAAACAATTTGGAGCGGTCGAATATATACGCAAAAATACTTCAAGTGAAGCCAATTTTACTGAAATCCGTGAAAAGCAAATACCACTCGCAATTAGCTATAGATGTCCATCGGACCTACGGGAACATCTTTAAGTCACTTCCGATGGAAGAAAAGAAGAGTCGCTTATTACTTGTTCTTGACAATTTATTTTACCTTCACCCCGAGTTGAAATATTACCAAGGTTTTCACGACGTGGTTTCGATACTTATTCTTGCGATACCTTCCGACGAAATGGTGTTGGCGATCACCGAGAAATTGGCGCTTACCCGATTTAAGGAGATGCTGACGTCAGACATAGTTATAGTCATGGAACAAGGGCTTAACGCGTTACAGCGAGTCAAAGAGATCGACCAACAACTTGGTGACATTTTAGAGGAAGTTGGATGTGATGCGATGTTTACACTTCCGTGGTATCTCACGTGGTTTATACACTCGATATCGAGTGTCGAAGTTGGAGTGCGGCTTATCGATTTCTTTGTCTGTTCCGAGAATGAAGACTTTGGTAATTTCATCATCTCGGCAATTATCTCACAGCGGGATAACGTGTTCAACTGCACGGAAGACTCATCAGTCCACACATTGTTCACGGATGCTCCAAAGAGTTTTACTGTAGATGATGTGCAGACTATTATTAATATGACTATTTTGCTGAGAAATAAAGACACCACTTTATCTCAATTATTGAATGCACGAACACACAAATCGAGTGCAATTACTTTCGTCGAAGAAAATAAAGCAACACTCATTTTGGCTGCTATTGTCGTTGTGATGTGGTCGTTTACTTATCTTTTTTCTCAATAGAACGCAATGTGGCGCTATTCCTTTTCCTGTAAACTTCGTGGAAAATATCTTAGGTAAATTAGTCCTCGTATTAAGTGGGATTTTGTTTATTTCTTTTTTAGACAATTTGTCAACGAAAATAAGATGAAAATTTATTTACTCGACGAAATCGGACTCGACAGCACTGCACGATTGTTGTCTTACATAAGTGATAGTCGATTTGTCTTTAATCAAGTCAGCGTGGCCAACTTTACCCATGTCCTTAACAACAGTGGCATTAAAAGAGGGTTGGGCGCACCACAAGAGTGATTGTATATCAACAGTCCCATCACCATCTCCATATGTGAAATTACCGTCTTGGAAGTCTTTAGTAAGATCATCATATTTAAGACTGTACACTGTGTCGATTCCATGCGAATACAAACAGTGAATTGGAACATTATTTGGGACATGATCCATTGGATATCTAAAGATCAATTTGGGTACAATTTATGAAATAGGTACAAACCTGTCCATACACTCTTCATACATTGGTTTAATATATTCCTTCACTTCAGGTACTAATTCTAATACTTCTTCTACTTGTTGGGCAGTATACTTCTTCCCAGCGACTTCAGCAATCACAGCGTTCTCCCAATACTTCGCATTTGGCATCAATTGAATAGACCCTTCCCAAGAGCGGGCTAACTTTCTCAACGTGGATGGATCCATTGGAAGACCAAACGTCTCACCAGACAAAAATGTTTGGAGTGCTTTTGTAGCTCCAATAAATGGCGAGGCGACGGTGATGATTTTGTCAATGTACTTATCACAGAACTCCTTCCCAACGGCATCAAAGAATTCCATAGCCATTGGTCCACCATATGAGTGCGTTACAAGGACGGCTTTCAACTTGGTCTTTTCAACAGCTGATTTAACTAATTCTTTTGTTTTAGCAATCCAGTCATCTCGTTGTCTGTTTGCGTACCTCCAGTCATAGCCAGGTGCAAACATATCTTGGTTATCTACCCATCCTATTCATTAACTTATAAACTTGTAACACTATTTGAAAGACAAACCATCAGTGGAAAGGCCTTGAATCATTTTATAGAAGAGTCTGAGAACACGATAAGCAACGCTTTGATCTTCTACACCTAAAGATGAAATACCTTCCGTTGAAGGGTAATTGGGATATGTTATTTTGACACCAGGTACATTCTCCATCTTCTTGCCATCCCACTCAGTGTTCATATAAGCTACAAAACACTGCGTGTCATTAAACGGATAAATGTCCTTCTTATTCACCCAAATTTGTCCTTTCAACTGATGTGGACAGTTACCAGGCAATGTGTATGACTCAGGAACGTCAGCCTCAAGCATCAACTGACTCGACAATATACCATGGATCATCAGAACGGGTCTTTTATGTGCGCATTTCGTTGCGCATGCGATTGAAATCAATGTGAGTAGAAACAACAACTGCATTCTATGTTCTTATTTAAAACACTTCTTTATATAGACCACAAAGTCCAATTTCGTGTTTGGTTTTCTATTTTAGTTGAATGATTAAAATATAGGTTTTTTATAGTTTCAAACCAGAATCTATAGATTAAAATGTATTGTGGAATTTCTTTTTTGAATTGTATGAAACAGTTTTGTCGTCGTTGTTTTTCAACAGAAAAGATTTGCGTTTTTTTTTCTCGAAAAATTTTTATGTGTGTTTTGTTTGAAAAATCTGTTTTTTCTTTTTGAAACAACTCTTTTTGCCTCCACTAGAAATTCTAAAAAAAAATAGTTGAAGCGGTTTTCGAGTTGATTTCTTTTCACATTTCTTTGAGTTTTTGCCGATTGAAAAGTGTTTTCGAATTAATCGATTATTTTTATTCATATAAAAGTTACAGAAAATAACAGAATATTATAAATATATATTAATATTATATTAATATAATAGAGTTTGTTGTAAAACGTTTATTTTTGGGAAACATGCAATGATTCTTTCAATTTTGTTTTCGATTTTCTTCCAAACAGTTTACTCAACCCAAAAATTATAGTTTACCAGTACTATATTATAAATAAATAATTGTTTCGGCAGTGTTAGGACATTTCCCGATAATTTACGTTGTTTATATCATAAATGAGTTTAAAAAGATTATATAACATTTTAAATAACACAAAACAATCTTGTGACTTTAGGTCTAAAACAGAATTTCTTCGTCTTGTTGAGCAATAATTGTTCTCTGTTGAATTTCAGACTCTTTGGTAATGAGAGACTTTTCCATCATTTCGAGCTCAGTAAGTCTGTTACGTTTAATTTTAAGTTTAATCTCCGTGTCCTCTTTTTCTTTCTTGTGTTCTTCTTGTGCCTTTGCAAGACTTTCAAACAACCCAGTTATTTGTCTTTCGACGGTCTCCCTCTCTTTCTTTTTTTGGTCGAATGAATTCCGTAACAGAGCAATATCCTTCTAATTGTTAATAATAATCATAATATTAATAATTATATTAATAATTATAATTATAATACATCTTTCTCATCTCATTACCTTTTATAATATAATAAAATGTACTATAAAATATAGTACACTACAAACCTTCAAATCTTTTGTTCGATTCAGTTCCATTGTAGCCTTATCAGCATTTGTTCTCTCAATGTTTGCCTCTCTTAACTCTTTTGAACACACTTCGACTTGTTGTTGGAGTTCTTTCATTTTTTCTTGGTGTTTTTTTTGAGTATCTACTGTTGCTTGTTTCGAGTCGATTGTGGTTTTGAGTGCTTTGAGGTTTTGTTCTGATTGTGACACTTCATTTTTGAGTTCGAGTTCCTGTTTTTGAAGGGTGGTGTGCTTTGAAACAATTTCGTTACTTTGCTTTTCGGCGTTAGTTATATCAAGTTGAATTTCTTCGTAATTTTTCAAAATCTTTTGTTCCTCCGAGTCACGAACTTTATGTTCCTCCTTTTCTCTCAAAATTTCAATCTGAGTCGCGCTTGCAATCTCTTTAGTTTTCAACAACAATTCTATTTATTATTAATTTATTATAATGAAATTGAAATTGAATAACAAACGGGTGCCCTTTCCTTCAAGAGGAACAGCAGTGTTGATTTGTTCAATGAGTTGTTTTGAGAGTGGTTTAGTTTGATTGTTCGTTTTGGCTTCGCTCTGCATTCACTTTTTAAGTTTTCATTTTATCCCTTCTTTATTTTACCATAAACAATAGCAATTTTACTATAACTATTTACTAACTCATTTTGAATAAAAAGTCACTAATCTTTTTGAATCACTCAAGACAAAATGATGATTGCACTATTAAAGCGATCTTTTTTCAATCATACGAGGCTTTGTGGGGAGGAATCCCAACAAGACGTTCTTGTCTTCTGGCACTTGCATACATTCTTTCCAGTTGAGTAAAACTGTTTTGTAATAAGGCAGAGGAACGAAACGCCTCTCTCTCAATACTTGCGATGCCCAGTCCACAAACTCTTTCGTTGTGAGGTTCAGTGAGATCATTACCGCTTGGAAGAAGACTTGACCGCCTATAGAAATTGAGAAATTGGCAAAGAAGAGAATGAAGGCTATCAAAAGTATCTTCGGAACATATTTTAACTATACGTGAATAGTTTCGCCTTATAATTTTGAACAAACAAACGATGTCTAAGCGATACAACCCAATGGCAACATTAAAATCGAGACACAACAACCCAACTTCAACGTAAAACAGAAACAAAAAGAAGTACCTGTAATTGTGATACCCAAGTGCATTTTGGACAACACCACAGTAGTGGTCGTATCGATAAATACACTTCTTGGTGGTGCGATCATGATGGACGCGATCCGCTTTGTATTTTTTACATATTTGGCACATTCTTGACTCGTCGATGTTTTCTTCATCAACGCGGTAGTATGACTCTGGAATGATATCAGACTGGACAACGTGTACACTGTAGTAATTGTATGAAATCAAGTATATAATAACATGTGTAACGATGGTCCAAAAAATGATTGTTGGTGTCGAATAAAATAACGGCAAAAGGAAAATGATGACTACTATGATCGTTAAGTAGGAGAGTATGATTGTTAAACACACAAAAATTATGGGAACCTCTTCCCATATACTATACACTTTGTCTTCATTCTGTTCTAAGTCTGTGTCAGTTGGCTCCTCTTTTTTAACTTCACTTGGCTCTGTGTCGATTTTCACTTCAACGCCTTCCATCTCTGTCTTTTTAAGTTTGTTTTTTATTCAATTCAAACTAATTCACCCACAAACTAAACAAAATCATAAATAAATTACTATTCATTCGGTTTGAAGTCGACAACAATTAGATTGCCATTCTCTAATCCACAGTACAGCCCATCATCAACAATGCGCACACACCCTATTTTTCGACAGGGATTGAGGATGGGGCGGACAGACCCAATCCACTTCCCGTTACACGTAAACCCAGCAACTTTATTGTCCACCCCAACAACTACTCCCTTTTTATTCCACAAGTCGATCATTGATATTCCATACTCGTTCACTGGTCGAACTACAAAGAAGTCCTTTTTCCGAACGTCAAACATCTGCACCTCGCCATCTTGATTCCCAACAAAGACATAATCGCCAAAGTAATCCAAAGCAACGGGAACTTTTGCCGGGTTTTGCCGCTCGAAAACGACTTCGCGACACCTCATGTCAAACCCACGAAATGTCCCCACACAGTTGTTTGTGATGACAATTTGCTCGTCGAAAAAAGAAGCCGACAAAATCTCGTAACTGTCTGGTCGGATGAGCTGTTTGATTCTTTTTGCAAACGTGTCGTAGTGATACACCTCGTTACTGTTAATTCCCAATATCGTCTTGTCTTTTACAAGATCGACTCTTTGGAACAACGGCATTTCGTCTGTGACACATTTGTAGATATGCGCACTTTTTGTATCGTTTGCGTCGTTCGAGTAACTCTCAATCGTCCCATTCTGTTTGGCAACTAAAATCACGTCGTCGTACACCTCGAAGTCTAAGCTGTTAACCGACGACGGGAGTACTAACCGTTGTGTCACTGTCCCTCTTTCGACTTCTTCTGTTTTCCCAACAACCAACGACCCACCGTAACTCCCAACAATGATTTCGCCGTGGTTCCCAAAACATATTTTCGAGATGGGGCTGTTCGAGAACGGAACGTTTCTTTTTTGAAGAATCCTCCCATTTTCCCAGTTGTGGAGAAGTATTTGTTCTTTCTTTACTGCCGTGTAGTAGTCACTTTCTTTTGCTTTGGTGTACTGAATCGCGTACTTCTGGTAACTCACCATGTTGCACAATTTGGTGTATTTCATTTTCCAAACATCGTCCGAGTTTCGAATGATTTGGTACATTTGTTTTGTCGTCCGAGCAAAGCGGGAGATGTCCTTTATTCCAAGAAATCGCGTAATGTTCACAATTACTTCACTTTTTACATGTAAAAAACAGTTGGCTGTGTTTGGATTCATTTTGACTTCGACGTTGTAAAAGTGGTTCTCCTTTTTCATTTTTCTTTTCAACAAACAACTGAACTGCGTTCGGAGAACGAGTTTTTGAAGGGCAATTCCGCGTTCCAATATATTTCCCTCGAACGGTGGGTTCGGCACAGGAACGTCGCTTACTATAACAACGCGTGTGACTAAAAACACGACTATCAGTTGCTTCATAAGCGCCTTACGCGTTTCTTTGTCCATCAATTTGAGCTCGGGTGTGAAGTAGTGGTAAAACCAGGACGACCGTGTGTCTGTTCCGTCCCATTCAATTTGTTCGCCGCTAAATACAACCGAAAATTTTTCGGACGGGTTCTTCGCGTTGCACACTTTGCAAATGTCCGTGTTGAGACTCTGACACCCAATAAAGAGTCCACTCTCTTGCGACAATATACCACGAAACAAGTCAGTTTTAACAACATTCCGACCAAAGTATGGTGACTCGGCGTGCTCGAGACAGAACTTATTGTTCTTTTCGAGAATCTTTCTGTGAGGGAACAGTATCGACGCGTTTGCGTATTTTTGGAAGAGTCGAATGACAGTGAGAAAGGGCAAATTATAGAAATAAAACCCTTTGACGATGATTTCTGAGAAATCGGAGTTGGCGCAAATGCTCAGAAATTTCTCGTTAAAAATGACATTTGGAAATGAGAAGCAGTACTGTGTTTGTATTTGGAATTGTCGCTGTAACACAAAGACTCGAGGGTTTTCCTTGTCTTTATTGAGGATTGAATATATGTTGTGGATTGCTTGTCGTTGTGCGTTAATAATAGCGTGGACCATCTGCATGTTGTCGTCGGAGTTTTCCCTCCCCACCAAATTCCCATTCAACTTGTCTCGTGGAATAGAAACTTCCAAAATGAACTTCGTCTGTGTTTTGATGTCTTTCGCGTACAAGACGATGTGGTCCCAAAGCTTAGGATTGAAGTCCCCACACAACAAAAGTGTTTCATACGACGCAAGTTGAATAATTTTGTATCGGAAAGTGACTGCCTCGAGTTTCTTTGAAACGTAAGACACCCCAACTAATTTGACGTGGTCTTCTGTCACATCTTCTGTTGAAAATATGTTTGAAATTAAGCTTGTGACCAGAGTGATGTTCGTGAAAAACATTTGAAATTGTTGAATGGAATACCGCGTGTTGACGATGATGCGGATTTTGAGTTGTTGTGGCGTTGCCTTGAAGAACGATTTTGTCTCACATTTTTGTGTGTCTGGGTATTGGATATTTTCCCATGTACCGTCCGATTCGTTGTCATAGATAAATTCGTTGACTGTAGTTTCGAAGTCACTCATCGCCTTTTGGAGTTTTGAATTGATAAAGGTTTGCTTGCTGTGAGTTCTTTGGAAACACAAGACAGCATTTAACTTTGAAATAGTAAAATCGTTACAAAATCAATTCATTTGGTAAAAAATAGTATTAACTTATTATTGAATAAATTCAATTCATCTATTCATTAATAAAATATATAAATTAAGCCCCCAAAAATCCTTAACATAGAACTTTTGGGGTGTTTTAAATAAAAAATTTATACACTACAAACAGTAAAATGTAGTAAATTATTTAGTCGGAAGTTAACCCAACCACTCCAAAAATAAGAATGAGACATTAATAAAGCAATCAAAGTTATCTTAATTTGCACTCCGGTTTTCCATAAACGCCTCGAAGCTCAGACAAGAAATATTCGGCCTCGTGCTTGTCTCTTCTAACCGAGAAGAAGTTTTGAAGTGTAAAATAGTTGGTCAAAAACATGTTCCTATCCTTTTCAGCGACATCCTTGACAATGTCTTCAACACTCTTTTCTAAAAACTGCATATTAGAAACAATTACTATATATACTATTAATATACTATTAATATACTATTCTTACAATAGCAATTATAAATAATACTTGAATTATAATATTTTAATACTATAATTCAAGTATTTGAGCAACAATCAATAAAAACAAACGATTGGTTCTAATAGCGCCAAATAGAAGACAAGCCTTCCAATTGTGTTGCTTGGCCCAGAGAAGAAAAATTGTCGAACGGCGACAACAAAAATATTATAAAGTGGTTGTATGTATGCTTCTTTCAATGTGCAATGTTTTGAAATAGTTCGTTCCAACATCCATTTCTCCGAAAGGGTATCGAAAAACGTAACACACAATGTTTGTATTTGTAAGTTTCGACGGACAATTCCCGTTATAATAGTGTTCAATACAATGAAGACCAAATCATCGGATACCATATAAAGGAATGGTCCCAATAACGAGACCAGTGTAAACATTGAAAGTTCAAGTTTTTCATTGTTGTCGAGCATTTCAACAGTGATCATATTCATAACAATAATAACCCTTGAAAGTACTTCAACAAATAAGTTCTTGCCATATAATTGGAGGAGACAGAAGTTCATATTAGTCGACTTCAAACACCCGTACATGATTTTAAAGCAGATATTAAGTTCGCTTTGAAACGTCTTGACAGTATCACCCCCTTGTTGTATACAATAAATACACACATTTTTCACCATTTCAAAACTCGTTTGGATGATCCCAATGTCAGACGTTGTTTCAACAGAGGGGCCCGTCCAAAAATACACCGAACAACAGATTTGTTGATACAACTTAAGTAGACATCGGAACAGATCTTTGTTGTTAAACACCAAACCCATCAGTTTGATAACAAACTTGTCAAAGTAATTGTCAATAAGTACATATAACCCGTTCGGTGTCACAGCACTTCTTTCAGCCGCCATGAATAACCCACGCAATTGGACACTAATTTCAGTCACGCTTTTCTCATCAACATGTCCAATAGCCACTTGGTTCGATAATTCGCCCATTCGCACGACAAACATGTGCATAAATTCTTTGGAGTCATCGCGTGGTTTGCTCGAGTACAACACCATTCCAATCGTCGTGAAAAGACTCAAATAGACTCCTTTAATCTCAGACTGTTTGCCTTGAAAATTCGAGACGATACTTTGCCATCCATTCAATATCGACGTTTTAATAAAAGTGCCCCCAATAATTCGTGACGCAAAAAGTCGCTCTTGACAAAACATGTTGAACGTCTCTAACACCTTTTCAATCAGTTTAATACTCCCACGCCATTCAACTAACACTCGCCCAACCATTTGAACAAATTCAACTATAAACGAGTCCAAGTAGTCTTGGTTCCTCATGTGTTTGTTCATTATTATTTTGGCCGCTTCTACAAAGTCGATGCTTGCTATTTCAACTCGATACTCCCCACTATCCTCATCTCCCCACGCTCTCTCTTTATTCATTTTCCCAAACATTTGCATGATAGGTAATACCATTGTTATCAATTTCTCATCAATAAGAACCTTTTGCTGGTCAATCGCAGTCGTCGTCGACGCTCGTAACCCCGCTACAATCAGTTCAATAACCCAAGCCATTTTGCCCTCGACAATACTTTTCTGTTGAAATGGAATATTGCTGAACATCATTTTAGCCAAATCGTTCAACAATTGTGTGATATATGGCACAAAAAAGGGGTATATATACCGAATAATAACTCCTAAATTTTCCCATATCAAATCCATATTAATGTCTCCCGTCAATGAATCATCCCCACGGTCTTCTCGATTCAAAACTTCCTCTAAAAACCACATAACTACCATTTCTAACATTTTCACCCAGTCGTTGTCAGTGGTGCTTGAATGAAGTAGCCCCATCGACTGTTTCATCCAAAAATTGAGTAAATAATCGATGGCATTCATGTTACTTGTTGTATAGACATATCGCGTGAAGGTGCAAATAACTGAGCCAAACTCTTTGGAAACATCCGAATTGATCAATTGTGTACACCGAAGTTTCGAAATCGTTTGACACAATAAGAACACGGCTTCTGGACTATGAAATGAAGTTAATTTGTTCACCGCCATTTCGATGAATTTCATCGACAACGCCGCATTTTTGGCGGTTTCCATAGAGTTTGGTTTGCGCAGACCGCAGAGGAGAGAGTAGAGTCGGAGGATCGAACAGAGTGTGTTTTCGTTCTTTGATGTCTCAAACGTTGTGTAAAGGGCAGCGAAGAACGTTTCATTCTCAACAACAAAGTAGATTTCTTTTGGCAATTGAATCCACAACGGGTCATCATCGTTATACCAACTATGACTGACTAATGCGCCGTTTTTAATAGCATTTAATAACGTCTGAACATTGGTTTCATTGTCTAAGTATTAATTAATATAATAATATACTATAATAATATACTATTCTGTGCTCTTTGGAGAACAAACTTATTGTCTTTGGTATTTGCAAAAATGATGTAACAAGCATCTGAGTCAAAACAAAGACAACATTCTCTTTGATTTGAGATATTTTCGCTTTGTCAAATCTACATACAGAAAAGCACTCCATTGCGTCCTATACCGTCACGTTTATTATTATTATTATTAAGTAGTAATTAAATTAATGGTGTATTAAGTAAAAGAATGTTGAATACCCCGAGTAATGGCCGAAATGGCACAAAGCAAGAGTATAGTAATGTGGAACTATAAAAATATGATAACAAACTTTTAGGACTTCATTAATGATATTTAAACCAATAGCACTCTCAATGGTATTTTGTGAAGAAATTAACTTCTGAACAAAATTTGAAAAGTCGATTTGTTTTTGTGCATCTGCCCACGAGTGAATGGACGAGACGGAAAAGGCGTGGAAAGCAGATTTCACAACAAATGTAGCGGATTGAGTGCTGAACATCCACCTCAACAACAGTTCTTGAATATCCGCTGAAAATTTGATGAGAAGAGTTGAATTTGTTTTGTATGTATTAATGAACAACGAAAGGCCGTATTGTTGTGTGTATGGTTGTGTAGTTTGTTTGAAAGCTGTAAACATAGCGAGGAACATGTTTTCAGTGGTGAATTCAGTTGGTAATTCTTTTGTGACACTTGCTCGTTGATTGTTGTCCACTGAAGTAAATGCAATGACACACATCTGGTCAAGTCGGTTTAAATCCATCGTATGATTTTATTGTTTTTTAACTTAATTACTTCCTTTGTGATAACTCAACATATAAGAGTCTCTTTAGTTATAATTATAGTATATTATTCTAATTTATTAAGCATATTGAATAAATTTGTTCATTGTTTTTACATAAAAATTCAATTTATATTTGTAGTTCATATGAATTACTAATGGTTATAAATGGTTAAAGTTTAAAATAGGCATCAGTTAAACTATTTATTAATTATTAATAATTTAATTATTGAATTCAACTATTTTTTGAATTGGTTGAAAAAACAAATAATAAATAATGAAATGAAAAAATGTTATTTGTTGTACCAAATTAAAAAAGATTTTTTTATAATAAAAAGTGAAAAAATTGAATTTTTGGTTTTAACAAATTGTTTTTTAACAAAAAAAAATAATTTAAGTTTCTAGTTTTAACATTTTTAATATTAAATAATTAAAATATAGATAAGTCAAATAAAGTATATATTTATTATTAAATTAATTAATAAATAGAATTTGTTTTCTGAATTACATTACTTTACATTAAAATACTATAATTATGATATATGTTATTCATCAAATCATTTATAATACATATTTAATAATTTGAATCAATATAAACAACGATTATTTTATCCATTCAAATCAAATACTTAACACTTAAAATAACGCCCTTGTATTTCAATTGACCTGTTTTTACTGGGATATATAAGTAATTTTAGATGTTTTTCCTTTTTTAGCTTGTGTAATTATATACAGATAATAAACTTCTAAAAAATGGGGGAAATATTAAATAAACTCGACATTTCCCGATTTTTAAACCACTTGAATTTAGTTCAATGATATTTAAGGTGTTCAAGAAGTTAAATACCCCAAGTTGTATAACATTTTAATTAACACCAATAAAGTGTAATGTTGCTGAAATTAACACGACAAACTAAAACAAGTAAATAAGAAACTTGAAACCCAAATTGTTGTAACAGTTGATGTTACGTAAATTAGTTGCGGAGGACAAGTATCTAACGACAGTGAATGGGAAGACTTTTGACTTGACATACATACTTCCGAATTTAGTTGCTATGGGTATCCCTGCTACGGGGATCACTTCACAATGGAGAAATTCAAGGGATGAAATAGCAAAGTATCTCAATACACACCACCCAAGTCACTACATGATTTGGAATTTAACGGAAACTTCGTACGACGCGACTGGATTTTTCGATCGAGTCAGACATGTTGGGTTTCTTGATCACCATCCACCTCGCTTTAACAACTTGCTTAAAATTGTCTCTGACATTGTTTCCTTCTTAAAAAGTGACACATCCAACGTTGCTTGTGTTCATTGTCGAGCGGGTCGTGGTCGGACTGGTTTGGTTTGTTCGTGTGTTGTTATGGCGTTAGGGTTATACAGTAACGCCACTGAAGCGCTGGAGTTCTTTGCGAAGAAGCGCTCGAAGATATCGAAAGGGTCGACATCCCCGCCTCAGATTAGGTATTCGTTCTACTTCTCTTATATCCTTCAAGTTCTCAGAGAGACTCAAAGTGAGGGAGAGATAGAGGTACATACTCCATTAGTACCTATTCCTGATTTTAAAGTACTTTTGAAATCAGTTCTTATCACGGGGTTCTCACCTGTCATATCTCTGACGGATTTTTCTGATTATATTAAACCGGTATTATACTTTGCTCCACTCTCACAAACAGATCCAAAAATATTGCTCAGTAGATTCCCACAAGTTTGCACAAAAATACAAAAAGGGATGTACTCAATCACTTTTGATGAAAGACAAATAGTTAATGATACTATTGTGGTGGTGGCGGCCGCGACTAAACAAAGCGTCATCGTTTTGGGAAAAATTGTGATGAATGCATTTTTCATTGATGAAGGGAAACACTATCTCATGCAGATTGACAAAATGATGGATCCGACAGAAGGATCAAATTTAAATAAATACGCACTTCCTCCTGATTTTTCGTTGAAATTCACGTTCAGAAGATTTGACGGAAACGAAAAGGAAAGTGTTGAAAAACATAAGGAAATTGTCAAAAAAGTCAGAGAGACGCCACTCGACGAAATGGAAAATAACTCCCCACCACCACTCCCTTCTAAAAATCAACAGCCCAAGGTCGAGCTTTTTAATTTTGACGAACTTAAAATCGAACCATTACAACAAATTGTGGACGAAAAACAAAATGAAGAAAAAAACGAAAATATCGAAAGTGATAAATGCCAGAACGGTGAACCGAAAAAAGAACCACCTCCAATCCCAAAACGAAGAGACTCTGCTCACGAAAGTCAAACTCCTTTCGTCGACAAGAATTTTCAAGTTGAAAATCCAAATACTGGAAATCAATTTTCATTTCTTTAAGAATGGTCTTATTGTTGATTTTTTGTTTGATATTTTTATAGTTTTGTTTACTATTAATATGTAGTTTGTTGTTTTTATTTGGAAATTCACCAAAATAGGATTAATTAAAATTTAATAATATTTAACCTTTGTTATTTTTAGCATGAAATAAGTTAGTTTAAATTTTATCGGTATACTATACGATAATTAAGTTTTTCTCATGATATTTACTTAATTGTTCCACACAAAATTTTCATAATTGATTTAACTTCCGATAAAATCTATATGAGAAAAACAGAAATAAAAAAATGACAAGTAAAGATTAAGAGTGGAGGAACAACACCACACAAGAGAGCGGAAATAGAGAGCAAAGACCGATGACGAACGAGGAAAAGACTGAAACATATTTCGTTCAAACACGCCCCGAAACTGTCCAGGTAACCACTGTGCGCGGGTGGTTTGTGTCGATGGAAAAACCGTTTCCACAGTGGCTCATTTCACGAGGCGAACCGATAGTCTGCACCGTGTTTCGGATTATGCATGGAAGACAATCTTTGAAAGTCGTTGTTTACCCACTTTTTGTGGGCATTTTTGCGGGGAAAACCTGTGTATGTCTCTACAGCTTCAGCAAGTTTGATAAGTTGTTGGACAATACCCAGACCAAGCAGACTGCACCGGAGTACGAACTCGATGTGAATTGCTTTGAGTTCAATTCCAATTTAGTGATGTTTGAAGAGAGCAGCAGGAAGTACTTCCAAGACAAACTTCTTGAAGACCACAGAATACACAAACTCGACGTGAGTGATATCATTGACCCTGCTATAAAATCGGCACTCTACGTCTTGTACGAACTCAGAACAAACTTCAAACCGCTCCACGGCTACAAATTTGAGTATGGAGAGTCGTCACATCAATGGAACGGCCCTTCCAAACTGACGTACGATGTCATTGCAAATCTGATTCAAGCCGCTAAACCTATTTTGCTCAAGGACAACTCTGTGGTGCGAATACAGCCCCCATGCTATTGCATTGGTGATTTACACGGAAATTACAGAGATGCAACTGCTCTGGCGCAGCTTTTCAGGTTGGTTCCTGCAACAACTATATGTACTTGCAAATACTTGTTTTTGGGAGACTACGTTGACCGAGGAACTCACCAAATTGAGGTCATATGCTTCTTAATAGCTCTTAAGGTTTTGGCTCCCGACATGGTCTTCATGTTGAGGGGTAATCATGAGTGTAGTCGAGTCAATGGAAGTATCGAGACCTATGGGAAAATGTCGTTTCTTGGGCAGTGCCAAAGCCAGTACGGGCACAAAGGGGGGTACGATGTATGGAACATGTTCAACAATTTATTCAAATGCCTTCCACTCTGCGCTGTGGTGGACAACAAGCTGTTTTGTGTGCACGGCGGGATTGCGCACGAGCTGTGCACCGAGTCACTTTGTGCACTCCAACTCATCGATACATTTGAGAGACCGTGTGATTGTCAAGACCCTCTCATTAACGAAATGTTGTGGTGCGATCCAGCAGACTCAAGCGAGGAGGGGCTAATTAAGACAAAGGGTAGGGACGGGTTTGGACCAAGCAGAAGAGGGAAAGGAACGTACATTTTTGGAAAAGACGCGATCCAAACTTTTCTAAAGAATTCCGGGCTGAGATTCATTATCAGAGCGCACCAGTCGGAGGAAATGGGTATTGGGCTCAGACAAAATAACCGAGTCGTCACCGTTTTCAGCTCGAGCCATTACTGCGGACTCACAAACTGCGCGGCCGGGCTTTTAATCAACAACGGTACGATGACAGCTGTTGTGATAAATGGGAGGGATTATGTGAGAATCAAAGACGAAGAGTCAATTAAGGCTGTGTGGGCAAACTCAGAAACAGAGTCGTTTTCAGAGTTTTCGCATATGGAAAACTTGTGTTGAGGTAAGAGGAAATACCCTATCCTATTTTGTGCAAAAACGTGCATTTGTAATAAAAGGATTTTTGTAAAGCCGATTGGCTGTTTTCCCATTTAGAAATTTCTTGACACAATTTTCTGGCTGTTTATTCACGAAAACTGAAAAATGTTTTAAAAAATAAAAAAACTTTAAAAGCGAAAGCGAGAAAAGTGAAAGGCCTTTGCGAAATTTCCACGTTTTGACAGGCTCAGAATAAAGATGGTTACCTAACTTTTTGATACCACCAAGTTAGTAGAATTGGCAAAATAATAGCCAATAAGATCAATTGATGTACAAATGTTTTAAATAAAATAGAACAACGAAATAACTTTGTTTTTAAGGCGGCAGGTTAAACGTTATTGTGCGAAATGATAGGGCAGAGGTGTGAAACAAAAATAGAGCTTAAAAATAACGACGTGTCGGTCAAAACGTCCTCTGAATCCAAGATTAAAGCAAACTCAGAACTGAGCGAACTCAATGTCAGGGAAGAAGTTACCATATATTGAGTTCAAGAATTACCAAGTGTGTCAACAAGCAACGTTCCTTGCACTTCTGACGCAGTATGCTGATGTCACCATCTCTGTGCGGGGGAAGAAGACGGAAAAGCAAATCTTGGCGTTTTTACAAATTGGAAATGTCCGTCTTGGTGATGGGACGTGTTTTGATTGTTCCTCGATTGTGACACAGAAATGCGAGGAATTAAAAATGAGCGAAGTCCATGAAGGCCTTTCGGAACAAACTGCGGTGCGACGGTATCACAAAAACAGAATAGTTGAGACGCTTCACCTTCTTATTGACACTCTTTTCTTGTTAGGTGTCGATTTTAATACATACACGACAGATGGGAAAAACGGTGTAGTGAGAGCTGAAACTGTTCGCGAAATCATTTTTGAGAATGTAGTCGTTAAGACGGACGAAGTGACTGAAATTGGGAAGTTGGTGTATAACAATATCACACAAAGGCTTAAGACTCAAAATGAAATCACACTTTTCCATGGCGACAGGGAAATGGAGCGAATTGTACATCACATTGCGGCGCATTCGAATGCCGTTTGTAATTAATTTCATTTTTGTGTAACCGGTGTTGTTGGTCCATTTTGTTCCTTTCAATTTCTTATTTTTTAATAGTGTCTCAATAGTCTGAGAGTGGTTTGATAAGAATAAAAGGTTGAACCAATCAATGCAACCACATAATGACGAGGAACAACACAACAAACGAAATAACAACAACGGCAAACCATTTTGGGAGTTCATAAAGTGAATTTTGATTTGGACCGACACGCGTCCTACCAAAATCGAAATTTCTGAACGTGTTGACAATTTCTTGTGTTGGTGAGTTTGAAGAGTCCGGTGGTATAACTTCTTGAGTCACTTCGTTTGGTTTCACTTGGGTGCCGTCGTAAATATACGTCAAAGAGTGAAGCGTCAATGGGCTTTTACAGAATGGACATGGACAGGGGAGAAGAGGGCTAACACACTCCCAACAAAACATATGGCCACACTTGGTTACAACAGGTCGGACCGAATTCTTGTGACACAACAAACACTGGAGATCCTCCATACCACTTTTCGAGTTGAATTTACAAGTTCTCATTTTGTTCTTGATGTTTTTCTGCGTTTTTCTTGGGTATTGCTCTTTTATTATCGTATTTGTCGGTATTTTATAACGGAAAAGTGTTTCGTTTTTTTTCATATTGATTTTCAATTGATTGTGTTTTTCTGCCGATATTGATCTGTGTCTAAAAAATGATAATAATTCATTAGTAAATATATAATAAAAATATTCATAAATTACTATGTTTTTTTTTAAAGTATTTTTTTGATACTGTAAAATCAATAGTATATTTTTAATAATATTTACCATATTTTTAAGAAAGAAATTTTTCGTTTTTTATTTTTTTTACTTGACCGTTTTTTTGAGTTATTTTTACTAATAATAACAACAACCAATTTTATTGATTAAAAGTAAAATTAAATTTTTTTTTGAGTTGTTTCATTTTTTGTTAAAAAAATTAAAACCAATTTTTATCGTTTTAGTAAATGTTAAAATTGATAAATTCAAATATATTAAAAATTATAGTATATTTTATGTATTATTTATTGTTTTAATTTTTTAAAAATAATATTTGTTTTCTTAGATAATTGTTTTATAAAAATTAATAACAAATTAAAATAAATTGAAAATATAAACATAAAATAAATTGATTGATAATTCAATACTATTTATTTTTAATTGATAAGATTTTTCCACAAAATGGTTCGAATTTTTTTTTTATTGAAATTAACCAATTTTTATTAATTTATGGATACAATGTTTAATTTCATTTATAATAAAATTAATAAATACAAATAATGAAATAATAATTCAACAGATTTTTTGTTTTTCTAATCTAAAAAAATAAATTAGCATCGACTTTATAATTGCAAAGTTTTTTTGAAAAAACAAAATTTATTTTTATTGGCTGTTTAAAGCATATTTTTGTGAATCAAAAAATATAGTAAAAATAAACTATATAATGGTTATAACAAAAAAATAAGTTTGAAATTTGTTTCAATAAAAATTCAAATCGAATGATTTATTAAAAACTATCAAATGATTATTAGGCATTTTACCTTGTTATACTATTTGTTATTATATGAAATTAGTTTTGGTTTGGTTTTGCCTAAATTTCAGTGTTATTTGTTGGTTTAGAGTTTTCAGTGAAATTTCGTTTCAAACAGAAAAGGTATGTTTTCAAACAAATACGCTTGTTTGTATGAAATGGATAAAAAATAAAAAAACACTTCTATACAACAAGTTATTTAATCATAATACCGTCTTTTTCTCCCATTCGACTGCTCCACCCAGTATTTCAATGTTGATATCGAGAGCTTTGAATAGTCCGTAGGGTTTGACTTTTGCAAATAAGCCACTGCTTTACTCATCCCCAGTTTTTTGGCAACACGAACTGCAGCCACCTTTTGCCGCATCTCCCACCGCTTGTTTTGGGCTGATTTCAAATCATCATCTTGAAGACTTGATTGGCAGAAGCTTGTTGGAGTCTCTATACGTTCATAGCCTCTAAAGAATTCATAATGTGAATAATTGAGAACAGGTTTGAAAGCCGAGGAGCACGACATTCCAATTGAAATATCAAGTTCCATGTGAAAAGTTGCCGAATTAATTCTTATGGTTGTTAAGTGCTTCGACGCGTATCCAAACATTAAAACTATTATGCAAAATGTTTTTGCTTTATAACTCTATTTTCCCATTTTTTGTTGAACTTTCTATTTGTTATGCTTTTTACCAAAAGAATAAAGATGGTTTCGGATTTTATTATATTTGGTGAGAAATAATGATTAGCTTAGAATTGGCACAATAAATTTATTTAGAAAAATGAACTAAAAGAGGTTATATATGTTAGCAGTAATTCGGCAAAATAATCAAACTTGTTTGACAGAGTTTTCTTATTGTTGTGTGAAAATTCTTTTAAATTGCCAAGAATTATTTCGTTATTATTGAAACTTCTGCATTATTGTATTTTATTAAATTACAAGAAATTATTAAATAAGTAAAAAAAAGAAAAAAAGGATATCAAAAATAGCTGGGGAAATATCACACAATGAATGAGTGTGTGATGTTTTTTATAATAAAAAAATAAACAAAAGGTAACTTTTATTCGGCAACAATAGTCGTGTTGGTAAAAAATCCAAAAAGGTTAATCGATATGGTTTGATGTAACATCAAATAAATTCATAAAAGAGGCAACAAGAAAAATATTGAAAAGATTCTCATGTTTGAACCTATTTTTTTTAAATAATAATTGTAAACTTGTATGAATATTTTCAACATTTGTTTTTTTTGTAAATTTTGTCATTTGTAAATGTTTATGATTGTGAATTTTTTAAATGATAAATTAAAAAACGATAATAACAAAATGTGACAAATGAAAACAATAAAATGATACAAAAAGTTAATATATAAAAAATATATATTTATAAATAAAACGGGCACATTTAAACAACACCTTTTCTCTTAAAAGTTGTTCTTAAAAGAATAAAATTATCGTCAAGTGATAAGTTCAAAAAATCACAACAACTGTTTTATAATTACACTAATAGTTTTTAAAAAATCAATAACTGAAATATTAAATAATAAAACAATTACAAAATATAAAACAATGTTTGAAAATATAAAAAAATTTAATAAAGAGTATTGTTAAGAGTTTGAAATGTACACAAATCAGACATTAAATATATTTTTAATACTTATTTCAATTTATAGCAATGAACTTTCAATATATGTTTGTGATCATTTATCTTCAATATATTATTTTAAAAAATGAATAAATTTAAAATAATTTCACTTAACATTTATACAATTTAAAATTAATTATATTTTTTCAAACAATAAAGTTTTTATATAAAATTAAATCATAAATTATATTTGATTATTTAAGTAATTGTTAATTTGTTATCAACATTAAAAATAGTACATGTGTTTGGTTGTGAGCTATTTATATTCTCGTATGATAAGCTTAAAAGTTTTATTATATATATCATCATAACATTGTTTAAAATATTTTAAAATTAATCATTCGTTAATATATTTCAAAAACATAAAAGGTGTTAAAACTTTAAATTTAAACACATTCTCAAACAATTTATAAAATTTAATTTGTAAATTTTCAATATACATTATTTGTTA